CCCCAGTCCCATCCAGACAGATCACACTTTAAGAAGACCGTCTGGTGCAGGCTCCTTCTCAGCCGTGGAGCGGTGGGCACACTGTGGTTCCCCTGTGAAGCCCAACATTAGTTGAACTTGACCTTTGCAGGTTCACCTCAGTTTGTTCTCCTCCTCAGGTACCCAGACTCATGGTATCGTGATATCACCTCCAACAAGAAGTTCTTTTCCCTTGCCGCAACCTACAGGGGCGCCATTGTGGGAATGATAGTAGCCGAAATAAAAAGTAGGAGCAAGATACACAAGGAGGTAAGTATGTGTAGCGAGGGAGGTCCCTGTCACTGAACGGGCCACCGGGATGTGTGACCGAATCATGCTGCCTGCTCTGTGGCCCTTTCTCCTAGGAGCCCGGACCCATTACGAGACGCATCCCCAGTTGGTTTCTTCCTGGGTGTAGGTGATACAGTTAGACACGAACAGGAGACCCAGCCGCAGTCTTCACGACTGTCATTTCAAAGTAGGGAGGAGTGTAAATAACACGCTGAGAGCCCCCAGAGTTGCCGGGGGCTCTGGGAGGATCGGGGACTTGTAGAAACGGCCAGCAGTGCTGTGGTTGGTGGAAGGACATGCCAGGTTCCGGTTAGCGGTTAGCCAAGATCTTTTCATCCCTCTCCAAGATCTGTGTTGGGACTCCTAAGGGTCTAGGGGCCCCATGTCAGCAAGCTCTGCCCTGAGTGTAAAGTAAAACGCGAGGTCATGGCCACAGACACATGGTTCCACGTGGTTGTCTTGGGTCAAGCTTCGGCCTAACAGTTTTGGTCATCTTCGGGACGGAGCAGTGCTTACCGCGTGGGTGTGTACTCCAAGGGCGGGAAAGAACTCGCTGACGACGGGCAGCGGGTTCTACCTGTTTAGCTTCAGGTTATTTCTTCAGAAGTACAGTAAGGACATCTCCCTTTGAAAGACCCAACCCCGTCAAGTATACTCTATTTTGCCCATAATTAGATTCTGGCAAAGGTAGTTTCTTTTAAGAACTACCAGCTTCCTGCTGAGCTTTTTAATTCCACTTGGTCTCGCACGGAGGTTAGATTCAGCAGCCTCCCAGGCCGGAACTCCATCTCCGGGACCGGGGGGCGGGCATGGAGCGGTGTGGGCGGCGCAGGGCGGTGGAGGGGCGGCTAAGGCCCCTGCTCCCTCTACTTAGAGACCACCTGGGGGCAGCGTCCGATCCTTAAGGCAAACCTTTGCAAGCTTCGTCTGGTCCCCAGCGCCCCATACGTGTCCGTGCAGCACGGTCGAATCCCTGTTACCCCCCTGCCTTTGCCCTGTGTCAGGATCCCCAAGAGAAGCAACACTCTGTGTGTGCCTTAGTTGAGCCATTTGTGCCCTAAGGACCTGCACCCTGTCGTTTCTGTGTGGGTTGTGGGGGGTGACTCTCCATTATCCTTTGCTCTGTCCCCTCGCGCCCCAACCCCTACCCCTGAAGTGTCATGATGGGGGAGTCGGTGGGTGAGATGTGCCCTGTACCAGGTGCCTCAGCCGTTAATCTGCCTCTGTGTCTGCCTTTTCCTTCAGGATGGAGACATTCTAGCCTCCAACTTCTCTGTTGACACGCAGGTTGCGTACATTCTAAGTCTGGGAGTAGTGAAGGAGTTCAGGAAGCACGGCATAGGTAAGGGGCGCTGAGCTCGAGGACGCGCCACGTCTGCTCCAGCCTCCCTGTCCAGTCGTTTCCCATGTGCCGATGACCAGCCCATAAATGTCCCTCATCCCCCCGTCCTGCAGGGACGTTCAGCCTCCTGCCCCACCACCAGTCCATGGGCCTTCAACCTGCGCTGTTTGCATCCACCGTCAGGTCTCTGGGGAATGGCCCCCTCTCAGCACACCTGCCACCACACACGACTTATGTTTGGTCCCAAAGTGTTCTTGATTAAGGATAGAAAAATAGTCCCAGGAACGCCTGGGGGGCTCAGTCGGTTAAGCTTCTGCCTTCAGCTCAGGTCATGATCCCTGAGATCACGAGGGATCCTGAGGTCCTGAGGTCAAGTCTCACATCGGGCTCCCTGCTCAGCAGGGAGCCTGCTTCTTCCTCCTCCTGCCACTCCCCCTGCTTGTGCTCTCTCCTTCTCACTATCTGACAAACAAAATCTTTTATTTTTTTATTTTTTTTTTTGAAGATTTTATTTATTTATCTAACAGACAGAGATCACAAGTAGGCAGAGAGGCAGGCAGAGAGAGAGAGAGAGAGAGAGGAGGAAGCAGGCTCCCTGCTAAGCAGAGAGCCCGATGTGGGGCTCGATCCTAGGACCCCGGGACCATGACCTGAGTGAAGGCAGAGGCTTCAACCCACTGAGCCGCCCAGGCGCCCCAAACAAAATCTTTTAAAAAAGAGAAAAAACCAGTCCGGCTGCCGTTTATCAGACGCCTGCTGCATGCGGGGAGCTGTGCCCAGGCCTGTCTGCAGGTTCCCCCCACTCTGCCACCTGGCTAGTAGGCAGCGGTCTTCCTGTGTGACCCAGGCCTGCCTGGTCTGCCTTTTCCAGGGCTCTCGTTTGCTCTTTCCGTCGTAGGAGAGTTTAGTGAGTCTCCACCCCGGTCCCAGCCCCTTCGAGGGAACTCCCTGGCCCCGATCTGTGGTTCCAGACGCCCAACAGTGTGCGGCAGACGAGCCCCATCTGGCTTTGGGATTTTACGGGCTTTGACCGGGTGGTTATGGGAGTTTCATCTTCGGTGTAGTGGCAGGGAGATCTGTAGACATGTCTGGCAAGGTCGCCTCCTCGTTCTGCTTCATGCTCCCTGCCAGCCTGCCCTGCTGTGTGTGACTGTCACCCCTTCTCCTGCAGGTTCCCTTTTACTTGAGAGTTTGAAGGATCACATATCAACCACCGCCCAGGACCACTGCAAAGCCATCTACCTGCACGTCCTCACCACCAACAACACAGCAATAAACTTCTATGAAAACAGAGACTTTAAGCAACATCACTATCTCCCCTATTACTACTCCATCCGAGGGGTCCTCAAAGATGGCTTCACCTATGTGCTCTACATCAACGGCGGTCACCCTCCCTGGACAATCCTATATCCTTTACTTCTCGGGGGTGAGGGATGCTGTTTCCCAGCCTCAAGGGTGACTCGCAGGGGCAGGGCCTACACGCCAGATGGAGCTGCATTGCCTTCGCATGATTCACGAGGCCAAGCTCACGGGACACGTTTTTCCTGACCAGGTGGTGGTGTGGGTAGATCTGGTTGTGTTCAGTGTTCCTCAGACTTCAGCTGGCATGAGCTGTGGGCTTTAACGCTCTCGGCCCGTGGTCCACCCACCCACCCACCAAAGAGTGATGGAGAGTCTCCTGCTCCGGGCGCGCAGGAGAGACACTTGTGAGCCCGGCAGACCAGCCCCCACCCGCAGCGGGCCCTGTTTGGGCTGGGGAGAAGACGCACAATGGGGTGAAGAGAATTGCTGGCTGTTTGGAGCGCTTGGGTTCAGACCTCCCTTTCCTGAGGCCTGTGACCTAGAGCTGTGTTCCTCCCCTACTCTCTCCTCTTTAGCCCTCTCTGGGCCGGGATAGGAAGAAGGGAGGCCGGGAGACTCCCTGATGGGGGGTGTGGCCCCCGACACTGTGAGCGCTCGAGGAATGAACCGGGGGGAGGTGACGATTTGGCCGTGTCACAGGGGAGTAAACAGGGAGAGGCGCGGCCCCAGACCCTGCAGGCCTCCTAGTCCCTGGGAAGCTGGGACCCCCTCCTTGTCCCAGGGCCAAGGCCCTGCCGTTCTGATGACTGAGCGTGGGAGTGAACTGGGAACGCTTGCTCTTCCAGCATACCTGTAGCCCCAGCCCACAGTCCCCATCTGCCAGCTTTGGTCCAGCTGTCCCATGCCCGAGGCCTCGCCGGAGGTCCTCTTGCACCGCGCGCTACCCTAGCTTGTTTGGCACAGCAGAGGACCCTCCAGCTGAAAGACTCTCCGGAGCTTTGGGTGTCCTTCAGGAACGGTGTGGCATCTGCGCGCAGTCCTGCAGATGGCTGTGAGGGCCCCTGCTGACGGTGCCACCCAGGGGCGCGTGGGCGGGCCGGGCGGGTCGGAGTCTTCCTTAACGGAGCCCCACGGACTACATCCAACACCTGGGCTCCGCGCTAGCGAACCTGAGCCCTTGCTCCATCCCGCACAGGATCTACCGTCAGGCCCACAGCCTGCTCTGCAGCTTCCTGCCGTGGTCTGGCATCTCCAGCAAAGGCGGCATTGCCTACAGCCGGACCATGTGATGCCAGCTGGGCGGCCGCCAGCAGGCCCCGCCCTTTGGCACCCCGCAGAACCCACCTTCCTGGCTGTCGGACTTCTGTCGTCTGCAGAGGAGCCGGCGACCCCTGACCGGGCCCGCTGGCCTGCCCCAGCTGCAGGTGGGGTGCTACGCAGGCTCGGAGCAGAGCGTCGTGGGCACACCTGGTCTCTGACAGGTACGTGGGAGCGGGTGGTGTGGGGAGAGGGGAGCAGAGCCCAGTGGGATGGTGGTACCAGGAAATGAAGCCCGTGCCGCCCTCAGCCGTAAAAACAGGAGGGCCTGAGTGGCACTTGCGGCACCGGTATGTTGGGAAGTGGTCCCAAGAGCTGAGGTAGCCTGACTGACTTTCAGAGACTTCAGGAAGGAAAACTGAGTCCTTGAGCCCTTGGCCAGACTTCTGTCTTTTCACTTCCTGAACTACATTTTAAACAGGAATGCACTCACATGGTTCAAAAATGGAGAAGGCACCAAAAGATGAAGCTGCTCCTCCCGCCAGCCCCAACCACTCAGCTGCCCTCCTTCCGCATCGTCCTGCGCGCCAGGTCTGCTTTGGCAGCAGCCGCTTGGGGCAGGGGCCTGGTAAACCAGAGCTCTGCTCAGGTGCACCCGCTTCTGAGGTCGTGAGTGCCACAGAGAGCGATCTCTCAGACCTCCGAGCCACAAGGGGTCACACAGACTGCCAGGCCCACACCCTGGTGCACGGACGCAGCCCAGAGCACGTGGGTGCTGGGGGACTCACGTGGCGGCACTGCACGACCACCTGGGCTGGATTCCCCCCATCTGTGCCTTGATCTGTGTGCAGACTGGGAGGGACTCCGGGCCTGGAGGGCTCGTGCTCCAGGCTAGAGCAGGACATCTCCCTGGGGGCCTTCACCCCTGCTCCCCTCTTCTTTTCCACAGGCTCTTCCAGCCCTCTTTCCTTTTCTGGTAACCTCCGGAAACCGCCGCCTCTGCCTGCGTGCGCCCTGGTCCCGCCTTCATGCGCGTGCGCCAGCCCCACTGGCCAGCTGGGGTGTGGCGGCGTTCACTGTGGTCTGTTTCCTCCTCTGATCCCTTCCCCTCCACTGCTGGTTCCTTCTAGCTCCTTCCTCTAGAGCCGGAATGAACTTTTATTGGAAGGGAGGAACCCAGGTGTTAGGGACAGACCTCACCTAAAGACAGGGGAGCCTCAGAACAACAAGGGGGTGAAAGGGAATGCCAGATCCTTGTCCAAAACCAGCCCGCAGAAGCCTGGGGTGGGGGGAGCAGCCCCTGCCTCTCTGTGAGGGGCTGTCGCTTGGTGGGCAGAGCCCAGAGGCTTTTCACCCAAGCACAGAGCTCGTGTTGGGTCCATGGTCAAAGGAGCGAGACTGATAAAAAGCAAAGGTCAAGCAAAGCTTTATTTCGCGCCAAGCATCAAGAATCAAACTGACCGGCCCGGGCCGTCTCTTGCAAGAGGCGACCCCTCCCAGCCTCACAGACTAACTTTTATAGAGCAAAGGCCCTGTGGTTGAGCCTGGCCACACATAGGTGGCCAACTGAATTACATTTCACCCTATAGTAGTTACTTGATTCAGCCTGTGACCTTGGCTAGAATTGGCGCCTTTGTCTGGCGCCTAAAAGGCGGGGCTCACACTTCTTGGCGGGTAATACATGCGCTTTCACTTGATTGGACGTCTCCACCTGGCCGAACACCTCCTTGTATCTGGGCTCCGTTATCTCTGCTCAGCCTGACATGTCCTGGTATCTGCGCTCCGTTATTGGGGCTATTTGGCCGTATTTTACCAGCCAGCCGTATTTCATCGGTTCTGTTTCTAAGCGCTTTGCTCTTGGGGGAAGGAGCAGGTTCAATCTAAGTTTATTGCATAAACAATAAAATGGCTTGCTCTGGCTAAGCAGGCCCTTACACTCAGGGGCTTAGACCCTGACGCGGGAGGTCAAGCCCTCCGGTGCCCTCCTGCTGAGGGCTTCTCGCTGTCTTGAGTGCGGATCTGCCTATTAGATGGCAGATGTTGGCTCACCTGAGCTGCCCCCACAGCTGGGCTGAGGACAGGGGCAGTGAGGTTCCCGGGGGTCCCCTCCCCAGCCCCCAAGTCCATGAGCTACAGCTCCCAAGATGCAGACAGGAGGAAGTCGAGTGCTCTCGATCCAATGGGGCCCGGCCTTTGGGGCTGGGGGCCGTCACGTGCCTTGCAGCCCCTCAGTCCCCAGGGGCAGAGACAGGAGAAGCTGTCAGAGCCAGGAAGTGCGCGTGCGAACATCACTGGCTTCTGGCGTCACCCTTACCCCCACCCCCCCGCCGCTTGCCGCCTGCCCTGCCCTCCGCAGTAGAGGGGGTGGCGGTCCTGCCCAGTGTTGCTGCGGCGTCATGGAGCTATGGCCTCAGTGCGCCGGCCTTAGGGCAGGAGAAGGGGGAGCAACCAGGCCGGGGGCCGAGGGCCGAGTGACTGCCACGCTCCCCTCCCCCAGAACTGCCCAGCCTGGAGCCGCCTCCACTCTCTGGGTGGGAGAAAGGTGTTCTCAAGAGGAGGGCGAGCCCTGGGCCGGAGAAGCACTTCTCCTCCTCCAACCACCTTCTGACTGGCGGTGTCCCCCTCAGGGACAGGTCCCCGGCTCGCTGACCTGTCCCCACCTCTGCACTGACCTTGGCGACATGCTGAGGCCCAGGTTGGTGTTCTGTCTCATCTGAATCAACGGTGACGTGTGATTTTTATTTCTGCCCCGAGGGGTCTGGAAGAGTCTTCTGGAAGGTTTTGCCTTGGACATTCATAATCGAGCTCAGAGGCCTTGCCCTGCCCTTCCGTCCCTGCCCCCAACCACTGCAGTGTCCAGCCCGGTGTTGAACAGATTGTAGTGTTTTGTCTCATTACAAATAAACAGACGTTAATTGGTCACATCTTGTCTTTCCAGTGCCAGGCCGCCACACTTTGGGCCCCAGCTCTGTGGCGGAGGGCAGATCAGGAACTGTTTGTCAGGTTCCAAGGAGGGCTTCCAGCTGAAAGGGCTGACTGCTTTTGCCTAATCTGCCAACCAAGGCAGTGGTGGGGAAGCAGTTCTAGAGCTGAGCAGTGCACTGGGCTCTGAGAGCAGAAGGCCCTCAGTGGCCGCCAGCGCTTCGGGGGTCTCTCAGCAGCTCGTGGCCTTAGCTAGGGCCTGGTCTTGTCACGAGGCACTGTCCTGGCTTAGAGAAGGTTCCACAGGGGACTCAACACAATTGTCAGGTGGGGACTCGGCCACAGCATGGGAGCCTGGGGGAGGGCACCTCTGGCTGGGCCAAGCCTGGGGCCAGGGGTTTCCACCAGTCTCTCCTCGGAGCTTCTGGCCACTCTGGGGAAGGAGGTCTTGTTTGCCACTCCATTGGGCAGATGAGGACGACTGGTTCAGGGACCGCGAGTTAGCTCACAGCGACTCAGCGTGTGAATGGTGGCCGGAGAGCCCAGCCCAGGCCGGGACCCCTCCAGAGCGCATGTATATTGCTCCCTGGGAGTCAGGCATGATCCAGGCGGCCCTCCCTGGGGCACAGGGCGGAGGCACCTGCAGAGCTGGGTGTGGGGGAGCCCCCGGGGCAGGGGAGGGGTTGATACCCCACAGGGGGCACCGAGCAGCGTCCCTGGTGCCTGGTGCGGGCAAGTCACACCCAGGTTACTAGTGTTGGTGCAGTTTCCTCTGTGCCGCTGGGCCAGCTTCAGGAGTAAGTAGCAGACTCGCTGGGGCCCTTGCCCGGCTGTGTGGCCAACTGTCAGCTTGCCCCCCGGAGGATGGGGCTCGTGGTTGAGCCTTGCCCTGAACACAGCTGTGCCTTCCCAGGCCGGCCTCCCCGCAGTGGGCTTCAAGGGCATAGTGTCCCCATGGTGGTGAGTGCACATTTCCACGAGTGTCTGCTGGTCTGGGATGTTCCTTCACGTCAGCTCCTGGGCCCCAGGACACTGGGACTGTGGCTTCGCTCTCAGCCTGTCACAGAGTGTTTTTCAAGAAAGTCTCGGGAGGTCGAGGGAGGAGCTGTGTAGAGGTCAGCCCAGCGAGTTCTCTTTGGATCCAGCTTGTCTGCTGCAGCAGTCTCTCCCACGGAAGGGCTGGGGCCCATGAATCGCTCCAGGAGGGCCCAGAGCTTGGCTGTGGCTGTGGCTCCCTCCACATGGCCTCCCCCGGACTGACCTGGTTTCCCATCATGTGAGACCGGCCTCCCCCAGTGCACACACTGGAAGCTGCCAGGCGTCCTTCAGGCCAGATCTGCCTGGAGCCCCTGGTGGGGGCCACATTCTGTTGGTCAAACAAGACCTTGAGCCAGTCCCAATTCAAGGTGGGGGGAGGGGGACTCCATGAGCCAGATACTGGGACACATGCATTAGAGGCCACCACAGTGGCCACTGACCACAGCCTGGGTGTCCCAGGATCTGGACTGTGGAGTGGCCTCTGCTCCCCTCTGAGCCTCACAGCTTCCTCCAAAAGTGAGGGGATTGCACCTCTGACTGTCTACAGGGACCACCTACTGTGGGTTCTGGCAAGATCTCATTTCTGCCCAGTGCCTGGGACAGCCTCCCTAGCTTCTGTCTTCATCCTACCTGGCCTTGGTCTTCTGAGGCAGTAGGTGTTGTGGCAGAGGGAGGAGACACCCTTTTTGTCATCCCCTCAAGTGGCTCATCTGGTGGACCTGCTGAGTGGCTATGTCCCTGTCCCGGTCCCAGCTGCAGCACTCAACATCTCTCATCGGTCCTCCTAGGGCTGTTCTCTGGCCACTGCAACTCAGGCCCCCACCACGCAGGGCCACAGCCACACTGTAACAGCCTGAAAACGCCCAGGGACCAAAGTCTCCAGAATCTGCTGTCCCAGGGACCTCCAAAATGAGACTACGGTACAAGGGCTGGGAGGGGACCTAATGGATTATTCCTCTCCATCTGAAAGGAACCCAGCTGTCCAGGTGTCCAGAGTGTCCTTGACATCATCACCTGATTTGCCTGGAGCCCCTCGTGGGGCCGGCTCAGCCACAGGCTGACCTGGGCTGCTGGGACTGGAAGTCAGCCACACAGTGTGGGGCATTGAGACAAACCCAGGACGTCCCATCCTGTCCCCCTGGGCTGAGGTCTAGTGATATAGAACAGGGGATTTCAACCAGAGTGATTCTGACACACACACACACCTGCCCAGGGGACATTGACACTGTCTGGAGACACTTGATTATCACACTGGGGGACATCCTACAACGCACAGGATGGCAGCCCCAGCAGAAAGATCCAGACCCAAATGTCAGCAGAGTCGAGGTTGAGACACCTTGGTACAGAAGAGTCCAAACTGTACGTGCCTGGAGACCTGCCTGCCTGGGAGAAGGACTGTACCCATCCTGCGTGGAGGGACAGGGCAGCTAGGGGTCCCCCAAGGGGCAGTGAACTAAGGACTGTGAGTGGTGGCATGGGGTTCAGGCCAACATTTCCGCCCGGGTGGAGAGCTTTCTATCTTCCCCGGCACCCTCCCTACACCCGGCCTGCTTCGTTTGTCCTCCGCGGTCTCAGCTAGATGGCGTGGCTTGTATTTAGGTCTGTTGAGATGTGCATCCAGGAAGACTTCGAGGAGTTTCCCCCGCCAGAGGAGGACGTTCACCTCTCAGCCAACACCAGCAGCACCGTGGATCTTCCCTGGCATCAACCCGGAAGTTCACTCTCAACACAGATGGCAGGTGCTCCAAGAGGCTCTTTCTCTGCATTGACCTCGCCACAGACAGACCCAGGGACAAGAAGGTGCAGGCCTTGGCTTTTATTGAAATTAGACCTGCGGGCTCCCTGGCCTCTTGGGGCCTAAATCTCCGCTCAGCCTGGCCTCCCAGGGACAATTGGCCGACCTGAGCTGGAGCAGGCTGCAAGGGTTTCTATTTTTTCTGTTCCTCCTGCAGGACTTCCTCCTCCCTCCCCCCCTTGAGTCTTCTTCCTGAGGCTGGCCTAAGCTCTGGTGCTGGGCAGCTGCTGGGGTGTCTCAGTGTGGGACGACTGCCGGTAGGGACTGAGCCCTTTCTGCCTCCTCCTGAGCCTGCCTCCTCCTGAGCCATCCTTTTTCCTCCTGTCCACAGCTGGGACAGCCAGGCTTGGCACTCAGATCCCTATGGTCTCTCCAGAGCCCCAGAGCGGGTTCGCTTGCATAAGGGACATGTGGACTCCTCTGAGGCCCCCCAGGACCTCTTGGGCCTGAGCCCCAAGCCTTCGGAGGGACCCGGCTGGGAGGGGACACCCTTGGCTGGGTCCATGCTGGAACTGGAAGCTGAGGAAAGTAGGGAGAGACAAATCACTCAGAGGGACCCAAGTGGAGGCTGCCAGGCTATCCTACGAACCCCTCCCCAACCCCCAGAACCTGGCATTCTTCAAAATAGGAAGGGAGGGGGAATTCTCCTGAAAGAGAGCCCATGAGGGAGGGAGGAAGAAGGAGGAAACAGATGGTTCAAGCTGAAAGGACCCTTGTCTCACCACCCCCTCATTTTATAAATGGGCACACTGAAGCTGGGGACAGCAGGGGTGATGGTGGGGAGCTCTCCAAGGTCTCTCATTGAGTGCAGAGCTGGGACAGGAACCCCCGAACCTTGGGAATGAAGAAGGGCCCATCTCGGTCCACCTGAGTCCTCAGCCAACCCTTCCCTGAGTCGTTCCCTCCTGTCTCCAGCCCTGCCTCACCCGGACAGGTGCTTACCTGTATTTCCCAGGCTGTCCCTGGGCACTGGAGCTTTCAGAAGGGCTGAGCAATGGCTGTTAACGGAGCCCAGAGTCCCCTGTGGCAGGTCTAGGGGCCAGGCCATGCCCTCAGGCCGTGGGAGGCAGCCCCTGGCCATGAGCCGGCCTAGCCAGTGGCTCTCACACCGGCCAGCAGCCTGCATGTGGCCCGGCAGGTAGAGAGCCAGGCCCCGGAGGTGGCGCAGCCGGAAGTTCTTGGGCTTGCTTCCCTGGGCACTGGGGCACTGCTGCTGCTGGGCCCCCAGCCCCCCCTCGTAGATGTTGGGTGGTGTGTCGGGGTGGCTGGGATGTCCTCGGGCCCAGCTCACTGCATCTGCAGAGGGGAGAGCAGGAGGGTGGTGGCTGGCAGGCCGCAGCAGCCACGAAGGGAGAACACAGTCACATGCTCCAAGACCAGCTGGTGTGATGGGCACTACCTGTGACTTGCTGAGCCTCACTCTACCTTTCCATCAAATGGGCTCAGTCCCCTGCCTCCCACCAACCCCCCCCCCCCAACACACACATACTACTCCTCTTCCCTTTCCCAACCAACATGAAGGTCTGAGAAGCCTGAGATCGTGACAGAAAGCGCTCTTTCAGTATTTCCAGCCCTTTCTACCACCCCTTTCTTCCCCCTACCCTAGAAAGAGCATTCCGGTGTCAGTATAGAAATTATACAGTGGGATCAGGATCACACAGTCCAGGGTCACACAGCCTAGAACAGTGGTCATTCCCCTCTCCCAAGCATGCATGTCCCTGAGGCCACTCTGGTGGCTTTGGGCCCAGGTCAGGATAGGAGTGCATCTCTCCTCCTGCCACTCCTCCCTGCAGCCCGGCACCTTCTCTTATGCGCAGCTCAGAGAACGCACAGACCAAGGCTTCCATGGAGGGCCAGCGTGGTGGGGGAGGAGCAGCTGGGCCTCCTGTGCAGCAGGGCTCTGCTCTCCCCCACTTGGGTCTGCAGGTCTCCCGTGGCAACCAGCTCTGTGATGTCAAACGGAAGACTCCCAGCCTTCCTGGACTCCCAAGTTTGGGAGGGGATGCTGCCCAGGGCTGGAGCAGGGTGGGTGGAGGGCAAGGGAAGGGGGTGGAACCCTAGGGGAGGTCCCTGATCCTCTGACTTGGGACAAGCTACACAAAATAGACTCAGCTCTTGCAGGCTGGAAAGTCACTCCCAGGGTGACCTCTTGGGGTCTCAGTTTGCTCCTCATTGGGTGGGAAATGAGGCTTTAGGGACACAGACTTGGTGAGATCTGAGCCAGTGCTTTGAGCCTGCTGAGGAGGTGGTTCAGGGTAGCTGAGCAAGTCACTTAATTTTTCTGAAATTACACTGTCCATTGCCCTATATAGATGATGGGGTATCATGTGGGTCATACCAAGTATTAGGATGTGGAAGAACCGGAGCTCTCGTGTACTGCTGAGGGGAATGTAAAGTGGTAACACTGCTTTGGGAGACAGTTTCTTCAAAAATTAAACTTTCACCTCTCCTCATTCATAGATGACGTGCTCTCATGTAGGGAAAACATTAACTCACATGTAAAAACAAAGCTTCTTTGAGCTGGTAAAAACCAGTAGAGAAAAAGGTTCAGCTCATTAGTTACAGGATATAAGATCCACACAAAAAATTAATTGTATTTTTATGTACTAGCAAGGAACCAAAAGAATAAAATAAATTTAAGGAGGTACAAGATAACACTGAAAACTACAAAACAGCTAGAAAAAAAGACTGACAAATATAAAAATACCCCCCAAAATCCTTGTTCATGGATTGAAGGTTTAACATTGTTAAGACAGCAACACTCCCCAAAATGATCTACAAATTCAGTGCAATCCGTATCAGAATCTCAATAGTCTTTTAGACAGAAACAGGAAAGCTGATCTTAAAATTCATGTGGAATTGCAAGCCAAATACCCAAAAACAATCTCAAAAAAGAAAAAATTGGAAGACTCCTTTTCCCTGATTGCAAAACTTAACTCTAATGCTACAATAACCAAAACAGTGTGGAATGAGTATAAGGCTCAACATCTCAACCAATGTAATAAAAAGGAGAGTCCAGAAATGAAGTCATGCATCTGTGGTCAATTGATTTTCAACAAGGGGACCAAGACCATTTAGTGGGGTAAAAGTCCCTTCAACAGGTAGTGCTGGGACAACCAGACAGCCACAACCAAAAGAATGAAGTTGGAACCCTACCTCATGCCATATACAAACATTAACTCAAAATCCGACAAAGACCTAAATGCAGGAGATAAAACTATATAAAGAAAACCTGGGGTAAATCTTCATGACCCTGGATTTGGCAGTGGTTTCTTAGATACAGTAACAGAAGTACAAGCAACAAAAGAAAAAAATAGATAAATTGGACCTCATCAAAACTGAAAATTCTGGATAAGATGCAAAGAGAAAGGCAAAAAACAAATCAGTGATTGCCAGGAGGAGTTAGGTGAAAAGGTATTTTTGGGGTGATGGAGCTGTTCTATAGTTTGATCGTGATGCTAACTACATACACTATACTCACCACCCACTATAATCGGCAGAGCACAAATGAAGCACTGAGACGGCAGCCAGAGCCACTTCTCTTGGTTTTCCATTTTTTAAAGTTAATTAAGTAATCTCTGCACGCAGTGTGGTGCTGGAACTCACGACCCTGAGATCAAGAGCCACATGCTCTCCGACTGAGCCAGCTGGGCGCCCTGGATCTTAATTTTATTTATTTGTTTGTTTATTTATTTATTTATTTATTTGAGAGCAATCACAAGTAGGCAGAGAGGCAGGCAGCGGGGGGTGGGGGGGTGGGAAGTGGGAGGGGAAGCAGATTCCCCACCTAGCAGAGAGCCTGGCGCAGGGCTCAATCCCAGAACCCTGGGATCATGACCTGAGCCAAAGGCAGAGGCTTTAACCTACTGAGCCACCCAGGTGCCCCTAGGATCTTAATTTTTTAACAGCTTTATTGACATATGATAAAATGCACATATTTAAAGCATGCAATTTAATACATTTTAATAAGTATACACAAGAAACTACAATCAAAATAGAACAAATCTGTCACCCCTGTTTTTATGTGCCCCACTCCTACTCAGGGGAACATTGCTCTGGTTTCTGTCACTGTAGATTTGCATATATCTAGAGTTTTATATAAATGAAATCATACTGGGGTGCCTGGGTGGCTCAATCAGTTGGGCATCTGCCTTCAACTCAGGTCATGATCCCAGGGTCCTGGGATGGAGCCCCATGTTGTCCTCCCTGCTCAGCGGGGAGTCTGCTTGCCCCTCTTCCTCTGCCCCTGCATATGCTCTCTCTCAAATAAATAAATAAAATCTTAGAAAAAAACAAAACCTGTTATTAATTTTTAGCAGTGTCTAGGTGGGAGTGAAATTATTGTGTCATATGGTAATTCAGTGTTTAACTACTTGAGGAGCTGCCAAACTGTTTCCGTAGTGGCTGCACCATTTTACATCCCCACCAGTAATGCTCAAGAGTTCCAATTTCTCCACACTTTTAGTAATACTTGTCATTTTCCTTTAAAAAATTTTTTTAAGATTTTATTTATTTATTTGACGGAGAGAGAGATCACAAGTAGGCAGAGAGGCAGGCAGAGAGAGAGAGGGAGAAGCAGGCTCCCCGCTGAGCAGAGAGCCTGATGTGGGGCTCAATCCCAGGACCCTGGGATCATGACCCGAGCCGAAGGCAGAGGCTTTAACCCACTGAGCCACCCAGGCACCCCTAAAAATTTTTTTTAAGGATTTTACTTATTTATTAGAGAGAGAGAGAATGAGAGCATGAGAGGAGAGAGGTCAGCGGGAGAAGCAGACTCCCTGCTGAACAGGGAGCCCAATGTTGGACTTGATCCTGGGACTCCAGAATCATCACCTGAGCTGAAGGCAGTTGGCTAACCAACTGAGCCACCCAGGCGCCCTTAAAAAAAAAAAATGTTTTTTTAAAGAATTTATTTATTTATTTGACAGAGATCACAAGTAGGCAGAGAGGCAGGTAGAGAGAGAGGAAGGGAAGCAGGCTCCCTGCTGAGCAGAGAGCCAGATGTGGGGCTTGATCCCAGGACCCTGGGACCATGAACTGAGCCAAACGCAGAGGCTTAACCCACTGAGCCACCCAGGCGCCCCTTAAAAAAAATTTTTAGGGACGCCTGGGTGGCTCAGTTGGTTGGACGACTGCCTTTGGCTCGGGTCATGATCCCGGGGTCCTGGGATCGAGTCCCACATCGGGCTCCCAGCTCCATGGGGAGTCTGCTTCTCCCTCTGACCTTCTCCTCGCTCATGCTCTCTCTCACTGTCTCTCTCTCAAATAAATAAATAAAATCTTTAAAAAAAATTTTTTTAATAGCTATCCTTGTGGGAGTGAAATAGTATCTCACTGTGGTTTAAATTTGTATTTCCCTAATGACTAAGGATGTTGAACATCTTTTCATGTGCTTGTTAACCATTTGTATATCTTTTTTAGTGAAATGTCTTAAGTTTTTCATTCATTTTTAAACTGGGTTGCCTTTTTATTGAGTTTATAGGTGTCCTTTATATATTCTGGACATTTATGAGATACATAATTTACAAATATTTTCTCCCATTCTGTAGGCTGTCTTTTCACTTCTTGATAGTGTCTTTCCTGGCACACACATTTTCCAGTTTTTTTCCCAAGATGTTGTTTATTTACTTGATAGAGTAGGTAGACAAGTAGGCAGAGAGGCAGGTAGAGAGAGAGGAGGAAGCCGAGCAGAGAGCCCGATGTGGGGCTCGATCCCAGGACCCTGAGGTCATGACGTGAGCTGAAGGCAGAGGCTCTAACACTGAGTGACCCAGGTGCCCCACATTTTCAGTTTTGATGAGGTCCACTTTATGTTATTTCTTTAGTTGCTTGTACTTCCGTTCTCCCTCTCCCACTCCCCCTGGTTGTGTTCCCTCTGTGTCTATGTCAAATTTTAAAAAAATTATTTTTTATTAAGATTTTATTTATTTGAGGGGCGCCTGTGTGGCTCTGTTGAGCGACTGCCTTCAGCACACGTCGTGATCCTTAAGTCCTGCAATCCAGTGTCATCCAGTGTCGGCATGGGGCTCCCTGGTCAGCAGGGAGTCTGCTTCTCCTTTTGACCACCACCACCCCACTGTCTCTGTCTCTCTCAAATAAATCTTTTTAAAAACGATTTTATTGGGGCACCTGGGTGGCTCAATCGTTAAGCGTCTGCCTTCTGCACAGGTCATGATCCCAGCGTTCTGGGTTGAGCCCCGCATGGGGCTGCCTGGTTGGCGGGAAGCCTGCTTCTCCCTCTCCCACTCCCCTGGCTTGTGTTCCTTTTCTAGCTGTCTCTGTCAATTACATAAATAAAACCTTAAAATAAAATAAAAAGGATAAGCTGATGTCCTTATTTAAAAAAAAAAAAAGAAAAAAAATTTTCTTTATCTGAGAGAGAGAGCGCGAGAGAACAAGAGCAGGGAGGAGAGGGAGTAGGTGACTCCCAGCTGAGTAGGGAGCCCGACATGAGGCTCCATTTCAGGACTCTGGGATCATGACCTGAGTGCAAGGCAGACGTTTAACCAACTGACCCACTCAGGGGCCCCCAAAACTTTTTTTTTTTTTTTTTCTAAGGATCCTATCTCTGGTGTATTTAGGAAATCTTCCTTAACATAATCGCAGAACATTTCTCCTAAGCTTTCTTCAAGAAAACTTCTACAGTTTTTTACGTTTTACATTTAGGAAAGGGCGGAGGTGTATTTATTTGCATATGGATTTCCAACTGTCCCAATACCATTTGATGAAAGACCAGTCTTTCTCCACGGAAGAGCGCTACCACCCTTGTCACACTGACCAGGGGCGCGTGGCTCTAGGTCCAAGCGCTTGTGTGTGTGTACCTTCGCCAACGGAGGGCGGAGGGCGCCCAGTGGGGGGCAGTCCCTCCTCTTGGCCTGCCCTTCCGGGTCGCCAAACTTCATTCCCCCGAGCCCTTCTCGGTCGCCACCCTCCCACGGTGGCTGCCGGACAGGGAGGACTCCCTGGGGAGCCCCCAGCTGAGCAGCCCACTTCCCGCGCGCAGCTCTCGCCGCAGCCACGCCCTCCCCCTCCGGGTTTCGTCGCGTCCCCGCCCCCAAGAGCCTCCGTTGCCAGGACAATCGCCGGCAAACGAGGACTCGGGCTGATTTCTGGCCTGTCGTGAAGCCAGAGCGAGCTGCGCGTGCGCGGTGGCCGCCTGGCCGCCTATCGCCGCCCCGCGGGCAGCCTGGGTTTTCGCTTCTCACGTCCCCGGCCTCACTTATTCATCCCTTTGCCGTTTTTCGAGGGCCTTGGTTGCCGGCGAAACCAGCGAATTTACTCAGGCCGGGGAGAAAGATGCTGGGCACAGGACCCAAGAGGGAGACCCGGCTTCGTGACATTATCGTACATTCTAGGGAGTTGAGGAAGAAATAAGCAGCAGTACGTAGAGCGCCTAGCACAGCGTTAGGCACATAGTAGGTGCTCAGAATGTGTCCGCCACTGCCAGATGTATGTTTGCACACTGTGCGAAGAGGACCCAGATGCCGCGAGGCGCGCAGCCGCTCGCCCGGGTCAGGCTTCTTTGGCGTCCCCCGACACCCCTCAGCTGCTCGCCCCTGCGCATGTGTATGCGCACGCGCACTCGCGCGACCTGGCCGCTTCGCCTCCCGTCCTGTTTGGCTCGAGCCGCGCGCCGTCGAGCCTCTGTGCGTTGCCATAGAGACCTGTGAGCACTGAGGGCTCGCGGCCCAGACTCCAGGCTGCGGGGGATTAAGAGCACCATGTCTTTCCGCGAACTCCGCAGTAAGGCCGCCCTGCCCGCTGTCCCCTGCGGGTCCGCGCCCGAGTACCCCCCGTTTGGGCCTGTGCGGCCCCGGGGAGTCCCTGGCCGCTGCCGCCCCCGAGGCCGAGCGCCCCCACCCCTTGTCAGCACTCCGACCTGGCGGGAGGTGCTGTGTGCGCCCCTGGCCGCGTGTGGTTAGGCGGCTGTGGAGCCGAAGTGTTAATTTTGTCTAATTTTAGATGGCTTGCATGGCCACAGGCCGCTGCTTGCTACCGTGTTGGAAAACGCTGAGACCGATTTGGAGTCGGGTTAGGTGAAGAGCTCAGAAAAAAGAGCAAAACCGCGGAGGGGACTGGTGAATGACCGTCGCGGGTGGCATGTTTTGAGTTTTTACGATCTGCCAGGGAGTTCCTGTATATGGGTGTGCATCGTATTATTGGCCTCCTGAACCACTGTGTATTCTGTATTTAGAGAGCAGGAACGGGCCGGGAGGGCAGGGAACTCGGCCCTAGGACCCAGGCGGTAGGATTTGGCGCCGCAGTTTGAATTCGGTTTATCTCACTTCCAGAGCCTGCGTCGTTCCTAAAGGGGCTGTGCTGGGAGAGTGGGGACATGGGATGGAGATATTGGTACCTGCTACTTTGGGGGCATCTGTTACACACCAGGTGTTTTACACTAAATACCTGGTTTTCGTCCTCACTTGCACAGTGAGGTGGGTAGTGTGATCCCTGCATGAAAGACTTGGAGACACAGAGAGGTCAAGCAGCTTGCTTTAAGTCACGCAGCTAGAACTGGGTGGAAAGTACTGTTGGAGCCGTGGGGCTGTGTGAATCAAAATCCTTTGCTTTCCATGAGCCGGCATTTTCTGAACCTGAAGCGTTTGGGCCAACTGGGTCCACCTGCTTAGGGGTAGCACGTGATTGCCAAGTTGCGGTCATCCTGGCGTGTCTTTACCGCCCGTTTTCTAACGAATTGCTGGACATTTCACCATTAACGATTAGTCATTTCAGTTAGGAATTGCTCCTTTTCTACCATGTAAATATAAGGGAAGAGGCATCACATTTTATCGGCACACCTAGTAGCACCATGGTGTGAATTATGCCCTCTGGGATTTGAAGGTTCTTGGTGACGTGTGTTGTAGAGACAAGTTTCTCCTCCTTCGCAAGCTGAGGCCAGGGTTCTGCTAGGGGACATTAAATGTAGTTGTGCCTGGAAGAGGGTGTTAAGAAAGGGATTTCTGAACTTTTTGACCTTAAATGAATGCCATACATTTGTGCAACTTACAGTAAAAATCATAGTCAAATTGTCCCCATTTTGCAGAATTAATAGGACCCTACTACGGCTTAATAGGAAGAAGTATTTAGGCAGTGTGTGGCGTGTGGTGGGAAGAAAGCTGCTTTATAGACCATCACTCTCTTCACATTTCCCAGAAAACAGTGACGAGGCCCTCTGTGTCCTTCTTACTTTGCTCGTATCTTCTCTTGTCTGGTGAGATCCAGCCTAACCTCCGGTGCCCAGGTAGCTTTTTTGCGAATGTTGTTGAGATCTTTTGAACCTCGAGGAAGAGCAGAAACAGGCATTCTGTAGAGCCAGAAGCGCACCGAAAACAGATCCTGGCATGTTGTGGAAACACAAAAATGTTTGTTGTGTTCATTTGCTCATTTTGCTTTAAAGCATAGTGACCACCACAACCTCCGGTTTCAACAAGTATTAGTATTATCGTTTCTTGTTCTGGTTTATAAAAGGAATTTAAATATTTCTGTATAGTTCAAACAGTCTCTTCAAGATCTCTTTAAATACAATGCAGTTGGGACGCTTGGGTGGCTCAGTTGGTGAAGCTCTGCCTTTGGCTCGGGTCATGATCCCAGGGTCCTGGGATTGGGCCCCACAACGGGCTCCCTGATTACTGGGGAGTCTGCTTCTCCCTCTGCCTCTCCCCCTGCTTATATGCTCACTCTCTCTGTCTCAAATAAATAAAATATTAAAAATAAATAAATAAATAAATAAGATTAAAAAGCCAACTCCAGAATAATTCAGAGAGGTGAACTTTGCCCTACCTCCATCACCCCTAAATGTAACCGCTGTTAACATTTAACATTTTTTTAAAAAGATATATATGTATATATATATATTTTATTTTTTTTTCTTTTTTTTTTTTTTAAAGATTTTATTTATTTATTTGACAGAGAGAGAGATCACAAGTAGATGGAGAGGCAGGCAGAGAGAGAGAGAGAAGCAGGCTCCCTGCTGAGCAGAGAGCCTGATGCGGGACTCGATCCCAGGACCCTGAGATCATGACCTGAGCTGAAGGCAGCGGCTTAACCCACTGAGCCACCCAGGCGCCCCTATTTTAAAGATTTTATTTATTTATTTGAGAGAGAGACAGTGAGAGAGAGCATGAGCGAGTAGAAGGTCAGAGAGAGAAGCAGACTCCCCGTGGAGCCGGGAGCCTGATGCGGGACTCAATCCCGGGACTCCAGGATCATGACCTGAGCCGAAGGCAGTCGTCCAACCAACTGAGCCACCCAGGCGTCCCAAAAAAAGATATATTTTTTTATTTGAGAGAGATACAGGTGCTTGTACAGGAGCACGGGTTGGGGGTGTGGGGGGAGAAAGGGAGAGAAGCACACTCCCTGCTGAGTGTGGAGCCATGCAGGGCTTGATCCCTTGACCCTGAGATCACGACCTGCGCCAAAATCAAAAGTCTGATGCTCAACCGACTGACCCACCCAGGCGCCCCAGCATATTTTTTCTTGATGACATTTTATAAACCAGGTATTTCTCATTTTGAGAGGTAAAGAGAAGGATATCCAAGAGGGAAATGACATATCGAAGGGAGAAATTCTATTCACAGCCAATCCTTAGACCCTATTATATCAGACTCTTTTTTTTTTTTTTAAGATTTTATTTATTTATTTGACAGAGAGGGAGAGAGAGATCACGCAAGGAGAATAGCAGGCAGAGGGAGATGGAGAAGCAGGCTCCCAGCTGAGCAAGGAGCCCAATGTAGGGCTCGATCCCTTGACCCTGGGATCATGACCCGAGCCAAAGGCAGACGCTTAACTGATCAAGCCATTCAGGTGCCCCCCTAAACGCCATTATAATATACAGCTTCCACTTTTTCCTCCCATTGAAGTTAAGTGTTTTTCAGGAAGCAGATTATGTATTTTAAGTTTCATCTCCTTTTTGCTTTCCCTCTTAGAGACTTGATAAATAGCCCTATAACTGTCAGTATGTTGGGAATAAAGAGGGAAAACAAGGAAAGTATCTAAGTAAGTAAGTAGTTGCTCTTTGATGGGGGAACTGACTGAGCTGTATTTTACCTTTGGACAGATTTTACAGAGATGATGAGAGCCTTGGGATACCCTCGCCACATCTCGATGGAAAACTTCCGCACACCAAATTTTGGACTTGTGTCTGAAGTGCTGCTTTGGCTTGTGAAACGGTCAGAAATGTACTTTAATAAAGTCTAAGAATGAATGCTGTATTTTATTCAATAGCCACCTATTGAAAATGGATACTGTGGTGAGGCAGAAGGAAGAATTCAATAAATTCTGAGTTTGAAAGACTCACTTATAACCTATTAAAAATCAGTTGAGCATGAGGAGCGCTGTGGAGAAGGGAGGCAGTGGTAAAAGGAGATTTCTCAGAAGCTGATGCGAGCAGTGGTCCAGGCTCCCCTTCACGCTCTCAGTGTCGTCAGGGAGTGAGCAGGATCTCTGCACACTCTGTAATGACTGTAATGAAGTACATAATGAAGTGTAATGAGGTAAAAATCATTCAGATTCAGATTTCATTTGTGTGAAAAATCTAGTATGATTCTGGGTTGGCGATCCTTTTTAAGGAGGTCATACATATTTTCGGTGTTGCAGGCTACATAAGATCTTTGTTGCATAATCTCCCATGTGTTTTGTTTGTGCTAATCTTTTAAAAATGTAAAAACCCTTCTTAGCCTGCAGGCTGCGCAGGAGGAAACCAAGGACTGCACTGCACTGACCCCTGGTGGGTCGTCAGTAACTCCAGAACTCCTCTAATCGCTGCTTCTCAGCGAGCTGGTTGGCTCTGGGTCAAGGGCTGCTCAGCCAGAGTTATAGTTCTCATTATTTTAGTTAAACTTTGAGGTCTGAGATAGATTTAATTTTGTAAGCTGAGCCCCTAATTGGATTTTGTAATCACTTAAGTCTGTTCTTAGGTGAGGATTCACTCCCTGAGGTGTTTGGGATTTTATGCTGCTTTTGAAGTCTCTCTCACTCTTACTACCTGAGCCGGGTAGTAGAGAGCTTGCTGTTACGGATCCTCTCAGCTGCCTACTTTCTCTTTCGTGGACTTTGTACTTAATTAACTTGTCTTCTCTCTCTCTCTGAAAGGTATGAACCTCAGACCGATATCCCTTCTGATGTTGAGACTGAACAAGACCGAGTTTTCTTCATTAAAGCAATTGCCCAGTTTCTGGTTAGTTGACAGTTATTTTCTGGAGTTGGAATATTAAGTATGTTACAGATGAATCCCAATGGGGGCTGCTTTCATGTTTCTAAGCCCATCCAGTCACCAAGTTCCTGTGGAAGCATTTCCCCAGCGCAGGTTTTTGGGTTTTTGTTTTTAATTCATTATTATTTTGTTTCTAAAGAATTTATTTATTTATTTGACAGAGAGAGATCACAAGGAGAGAGGCAGGCAGAGAGCGAGAGAGGGTGGGGGGAAGCAGGCTCCCCGCTAAGCAGAGAGCCCAATGCGGGACTCGATCCCAGGACCCTGGGATCATGACCTGAGCCGAAGGCAGAGGCTTAACCCACTGAGCCACCTATGCGCCCCTTTAATTCATTATTTGTTAAGAATTCTATTCAGTTAGTTTAGTATAGGTTCAAAATTTTTTCTTTATCTTTTTTTTTTTTTTTGTAAAATTTTATTTATTTATTTGACAGACAGAGATCATAAGTAGGCAGAGAGGCAGGCAGAGAGAGAGGAAGGGAAGCAGGCTCCCTGCTGAGCAGAGAGCCCGATGTGGGACTCGATCCCAGGACCCTGGGATCATGACCTGAGCTGAAGGCAGCGGCTTAACCCACTGAGCCACCCAGGCGCCCCATCTTTTTTTTTTTTTTTTTTAAGATTTTATTTAACACAGAGAGAGAGACTGCAAGAGAGGGAACACAAGCAGGGGGAGTGGAAGAGAGAGAAGCAGGTTTCCCGCTGAGCAGGGAGCCTGATATAGGGCTTGATCCCAGGACCCTGAGATCTTGACTTGAGCCAAAGGTGACACTTAATGACTGAGCCACCCAGGTGCTGCTCAAAATTTCTTCTTAATTATGAAACGGTATAGACTAAAAGGACTTTTTCTCCTGCCTGCCACTGACCCAGTTCATCCCCAGCTCCATCCTCCGAGTTTCTTTACATACAGAGAAGCAAACACAGTATATGTTCTTTCCCCGGCCTTTTACACAAATGGTGGCGAACAGTACACCACTGCTTAGAATCCTGCTTTCTTCACTTAGTTGTGTGTTTTGGAGAACTTTCCGAATACATATCCAGTTTCCTCATTCTATCTTGTACCTGAGTAGTATCGCTTTCATGAGTATACCATGGTTTATGTAATTTATGTATAGATAGGTGTTTAGATTTTTTTTTTTTTAAGATTTTGTTTATTTATTTGACAGAGACACAGCAAGAGAGGGAACACAAGCAGGGTTGTGGGAGAAGGAGAAGCAGACTTTCTACTGAGCAGGGAGTCCGATGCGGGGCTCGATCCCAGGACCCTGAGATCCTGGCCTGAGGCAAAGGCAGATGCTTAACGACTGAGCCACCCAGCGGCCCCAGGTGTTTAGATAGTTTATAACTTTTGCTCTATGAAACTGTGCCGTAGCAAATAGCCTACACGTAGGACTTTGTGACAGTGACCCCAGGATAAGTTCTTAAGATTGGAAAGATGGGTGGATTTGTAATTTTATTGTCAGTTACTAAATAGCTCTCTATTAAGATTGTATCAGTTCAAACACCCACTTGCAATGCTTGAGTCACTTGGAAGTTTGATTCAATACAGTCAGGTTATTGTTAAAGAGAGATTTTCAAATTACCTACATGGGATTTGAGTTAGATTTTATTTACATGGAAAGGGCCTTACTTGTTTTGTTTTTTTTTTTTGTTTTGTTTTTTGTCTGAAAATAGGCCACCAAGGCACATATAAAACTCAATACCAAGAAGCTTTATCAGGCAGATGGGTATGCAGTGAAAGAGCTTTTGAAGATCACCTCTGTCCTTTATAACGCCATGAAGACCAAAGGGATGGAGGGCTCTAAGATAGGGGAGGAGGACATCAGCAAATTCAAGTTTGATCTTGGCTCAAAGGTAAGGACAATGAAAGGCTCCCAGTGTGGGACAGTGTGTGTATTTCTTAAACTCTGAAACGGAACATGTCAGACACTCATGTCATCGCTTTTTTCCTTACCCCTTGACTAAGAGCAGTTTGTCAGTTCTGTGCTCGTCACCATTTAGATACAAACAGCAGTCACAACAAATTAATCCGCTACCTATCGAAAACCCACTATATGCCAGGCACAGTTCAGATGCTCAGGATACCGGAGTGAACAGCAAGACAGCAATCCTCTGTTAGGCTCAGTGGGGAGTCAGACTACACCACAAAGCAGAAGGATTGGCAGGTCAGGAGTGATGGTGTGTGGGGGATGGTAAAGCAGGGCTGGACCGTGTCTGCAACAGGGAGGTGGGGTGGGTGACATCCTCAGCAGAGATGCGAAGCAGGGAAGGAGCAAGCCGTTCAGCGGAGGGGGAAAGGTATCCTCTGACAAAAGTGTGCTTTGGGTATTTGAGGAAACGGGTCGATAGAGGAGAGCACGAGAGTTTGGAGGGGTCCCTTTTTTTTTTTTTTTAAAGATTTTATTTATTTATTTGACAGAGATCACAAGTAGGCAGAGAGGCGGACGGGGGGGTGGGGAAGCAGGCTCCCCGCCCAGCAGAGAGCCCAATGCGGGGCTTGATCCCAGAACCCCAAGATCATGACCTGAGCTGAAGGCAGAGGCTTTAACCCACTGAGCCACCAAGGCGCCCCTCGGAGGGGTCCTTTGACAGACCCCACCCTGTGGTGCCTCCACAGCCACTGTAAAGAGGTTGACTTTGAGGTGGAAAATCATGGTGTTTTGAGCAGAGAAGTACATGATTTGAAACTTCGTATTAAAAGGATCCCTCCGGCTCCTGGTTGAGATCAGACTGAGGGGGGCATGAGGGTACAGGCAGACATGTCAGTGACTTTGAACAGAGTGGTTGCTGATAGCAGGAGCTCAGCTAAGACGGGCGACAGCTGAGCTGCCAGGCATTGGAGGATTCGATGGACGCAGCAAGCCGAAATGAAAGTTAAGTATTCAATCACTTACTGTGATGGTTTGATCAAGGGGCTAAAAGCAGAGGAAGCGTCACCCCTCCCTCCCACCACATTGTTCCTTTGTCTCCCAGGAGATGGCACACCCTTGAAGGGGTTGTCTCCTGAGGGAGCCCTGAACAAAAAAAGGCTCCGGCACTTTTTTTTTTTTTAATTTTAAATTTTTTTTAAATTTCTTTTCAGTGTACCAGAATTCATTGTTTATGCACCACACCCAGTGCTCCATGCAATACGTGCCCTCCATAATATCCACCACCAGGCTCACCCGACCTCCCACTCCCCGCCCCTTCAAAACCCTCAGATTGTTTTTCAGAGTCCATAGTCTCTCATGGTTCATCTCCCCCTCCAATTTCCCCCAACTCCCTTCTCTTCTCCATCTCCCCATGTCCTCCATGTTATTTCTTATGCTCCACAAGTAAGTGAAACCATATGATAATTGACTCTGTGCTTGACTTACTTCACTCAGCATAATCTCTTCCAGTCCCATCCATGTTGCTACAAAAGTTGGGTATTCATCCTTTCTGATGGAGCCATAATATCCCATTTGTGTATATGGACCACATCTTCCTTATCCGTCTGTCCGTTGAAGGGCATCTTGGTTCTTTCCACAGTTTGGCCACCGTGGCCATTGCACCTCTATGACCCTGAGTTGGGGGAGGACTAGGAGTGGAAGAGTGTCCCCAGGTTTTCTCCCTAGTTCCCCCATAAGAAGGCCACCTCAGCCCGCCATGAAGAGACCTGGGAGTGAAGGCCCCATGGATAGGAACGCACATACTTTATGGATCATGGGGGTCAAAGGCCCTGCGTCCTTGACTGCCGCTTCCTTCAGAGCCTGCAGTGCCCTGCTGTGCCTCAGCTGGGGTGAGCCCCGGCGCAGGTGCCCCTGTCAGGCCTGCCGGGGAAAGCCTTTGTGATCACCTGTGATCAGGTCCAAGAAATCACACCGAGGTTTGTAACCAGGAGCCGGACTCATCAGTGGAAAGAAATGGCCAGGGGTTAGAACCTAATCTGAGTGTGGATCTTTTGGGGTTGAATGTGGGTTGAGAGAAAACAGACCATGCAAGGAAGATCCTACAGCTACCCTGTCTGCTAGATCTTTCTGTGATGATGGATGTGTTCTCTACCTATGCCGAACTGTAGCAGCTACTGGCCACATGTAGCTAGCGTCACCGAATAACCGGGTTCCAAATTTATTTAAATTTAAATAATGAAACATGGAAAAGGCCATGTGTGGCAAGTCCACATAGTTTTAGCCTTCATAGCTCTGGAGTTCTTGGTCTGAGCACCTGCAGGGGTGAAGTTGCCTTTACTGAAATGGAGGGGAGTGTGGGAGGAGCAGGCCTGGTGGGAAAGGCGGGGAGTTTGGTTGGAACATGTTCAGTATGAGGTGTCGGGTTGTAGAAGGTGTTATAGCCACGAGCTTAGGAGGGGGTGTGAGTAGAGAAGAGTTCAGGGGACTGAACTCTGATGGCCTCCGGGGCCAGGAAGCAGGGGAGATGATGAGACTCCTGCTAAGGAAGTGGGATGTTTGCTGCTATAAGGTGGTCTGGGTGGGGGGAGCTGGAGCTGGAGGGAGTGGAACCCTGCAGGACTAAGGGAAGGGGAAGACAGCAGCTGTGAATGCAGAGGGAGACTTGCTGCTGCTGGTGTGGGAGGTGGAGAAAGGAAGAGTGAGCAGAGCAAGGAAATGTTTGGGTTCTCTGGAAAAGTTACCATATGCAAGGAAGTGGGGTGACCTGCGACTCCTAAGAAAGAAGCTTATGGACTCCTAAGAAAGAAGCTTATGCTCGGGGCCAGAGGCTGTCATCTTCACAGCAGTAGCTGCCGCCCCTCGAGGGGAGGCGGGTCCCACCGTGGGGCTTGTGCGGGTTAACTCCCAGGAGCCCCAGCAGCCATGCACCAGGCCGTCCAGAGGCGGAGAGCCGGGGCAGCAGCGTTCTGCGGTAGGAAACGTGTCTCTCTGCTTCCCGTCTCGTCACCCTGCTACTGTCCCCTGTTGTGACCTCGTCCAAATAAGAAGTATGTCACTTTCACACGTCTATGGTTCCTGGTTAAAGATTGCATTCAACTTGAGATTTGGACTTTCAGAGAGACCCAGGTGTCCTGGGAGCGCTTCTCCACAAGATGGAAATACGGGTCTCGTGGAAAACGTGCTCAGTAGTCCAGTGTCCTGATGGGAGGCGGGAATTGATTCTAACAAACTGGTTATTTCTTTTTTTTATTTTCATTTTTTAAGATTTTATTCATTTGAGACAGAGAGCTCAGGAGCAGTGTGGAGGGGCAGAGGGAGAGGGAGGAGCACACTCCCCCTCTGAGCCCAATGAGGGACTTGGTCCCAGGACCCTGACTGTGTGACCTGAGCCAAAGGTAGACACTGAACCGACTGAGCCACCGAGGCGCCCCAAGGTTTCACCGAACACTTTCTGTGTTTGATATTTTCCCTCCAGATTGCAGATTTGAAGGCAGCCAGGCAGCTTGCTTCTGAAATCACCTCCAGAGGAGCGTCCCTGTATGACCTGCTGGGCAAGGAGGTAGAATTGAGGGTGAGCCATGTTCAGACACTTAAATACTTTCTCAGCCTTTTTTTTTTTTTTAAAGAATTTATTTATTCATTTGACAGAGATCACAAGTAGGCAGAGAGGCAGGCAGAGAGAGAGAGAGAGGAGGAAGCAGGCTCCCTGCCTAGCAGAGAGCCCGATGCGGGACTCGATCCCAGGACCCTGAGATCATGACCTGAGCCGAAGGCAGAGGCTTAACCCACTGAGCCACCCAGGCGCCCTCTCAGCCTCTTTCAAGGCTTTTTTTCTGATTCTGCTTTTCCCCGGCCTTCCCATTTCATCACACTGTACCCGCTAAAATGAGATGATCTGCAGGGAGGTGATAGTATTAGCTGCTATTCCTACTTCTGGTGCCTGCTGGTCTGTTTTTTCATTTTTTTTTTAAAGATTTTTATTTATTTGTGTGACAGTGAGGGAGCACAAGCAGGCAGAGCAGCGGAGGGAGAAGGAGAAGCAGGCTCCCCACTGAGCAGGGAGCCCAATGTGGGGCTCGATCCCAGGACCCTGGGATCGTGACCTGAGCTGAAGGCAGTTGCTTAACCAACTGAACCACCCAGGCACCCCCGCTGGTCTGTTGTTAATAGCTTTCCCTCCTCGTTCAGGAGCGGCAGTTATGTAACATGTTCTGTAGCATGCTGCTGGAACTTTCTTCCATGCCCGTGGCAGACCTAGCAAAGTCTGGTGTTTTACCTGGAGAGCTCCGGGTTCCTGTCTACAAAGTGCTCTTCTGAGCCCATGGTTCCCACACTTTGCTTCTGCGTGGGATGCTGTGCGGTCCTGTAAAAACTACTGGTACCCAGCTTCCGTGCCAATGTCACGGGTTTGGAGTGGACCTGGGCATTGGGAGTTGTAAGTCTTGGGTGATTCTCATGTGCAGCAGAGCTGGGCAGCCCGTGACCTAGGCAGTTACTACTCATCAGCTGAAGTTGGTGTCACCATAAAAATTTGTCTGCTGTTCTTCTAGCCAATGTGAGCTGAAAAGAGTGCTTCATCTACTGTGTTTACTGAGCTGTTTAATGAGAGTATGACTTCTAAAACTCCTGTAGAGCTCCCTTTAAATCACCTGGTGTCTGGGTTGTCCCCCAAAGCAGTGAATCAGAATGTGTGGGGGTGAGAGCCAGGCATCCAGCCTTTTTTTTTCCCCTAAGATTTATTTATTTATTTTAGAGATAGAGAGAGAGAGAGAGAGAGAGAGAGAGAGAGAGAGAGAGATGTGTGGGTGGGAGGGGCAGAGGCAAAGGCAGAGAGAATCTCAAGCAGACTTTGAGTATAGAACCCAGTGTGAGGCTATATTTTGCAACTCTGAGAACTTGACCTGAGCCCAAACCAAGAGTTGATTGCTTAACCAGCTGTGTCCCTGAGGCACCCTCCAGGCATCCAGCATTTAAGGATCTCCATGGGATCCTAACATGCAGCAGAGTTTGGGATCCACTGGTTTAAGAAGTGGAGTCTTGGTTAATTCTTACCTGTAAGGGTTTATGGCATTTGAAGCATACATGCTCACCTCTAGTGGGTTTTTTGTTTTGTTTTGTTTTAAAGATTTTATTTATTTATTTATCAAAGAGGGAGCACAAGCAGGCAGAGTGGCCGACAGAGGCAGAGAGAGAAGTGGGCTCCCCGTCGAGCAAGGAGCCTGATGCGGAAATCAATTCCAGGACCCTGGGATCATGACCTGCGCCGAAGGCAGAGGCTTTAACCTACTGAGCCACCCAGGCGTCCCTTACCTCTAGTGTTTTTATTTATTTCATTTATTTGATTTTAGATTTTATTTATTTATTTGTTGGAGAGCGAGAGAGAGAGAGAGAGCACAAGCAGGGGGAGCAGAAGGCAGAGGGAGAAGCAGGCTCCCTGCTAAGCAAGGAGCAGGATCTGGGACTTGATTCCACCACCCTGAGATCCTGACCCAAGCAGAAGGCAGACGCTTAACCGACTGAGCCGCCAGGGCGCCCTCTAGTGTTTTTAAATTAAATGCGTTTAATTCATTTTACTCCAGTGAGGTTTGTCAGCCATGACTGCCCTCTCCGCCTGGCCCGCCTTCTGGCATCACTGCTCTAGTATAATGGTATTTTCTTCTGGGTTTTCATTCCTGCCCCAGGAGCAGACGGGGAGCAGGGGACTGGGATGCCAGCTCAGCGTCGCTGATGTGTTAACCTAGTGGCTGGCCAGCTGCCCAGCTGACAGAACAAAGCTGCCGCTCCTATCTCATAGCTGATTTAGATAACTAACAAGGCAGCTCCCCAGGCCTTCTGTGTTTTCTCTTTATAGTGCGGTTGTGTGCATGTGTCTCCGCACATTTCTGACAGACCTAGAGACAGACCTGTGAAGCGCTGGTCACGTGGTAACTGCCACAGAGCTGTGGCTTCATGGTGAGACTTAACCAGGATTCCACTGGGGACTCTTAGCACCATCCCGTAATGAATTGAAATAACCAGTGGCCAAAGTGTTGCCATAGGAGCCATGAATATGGTACTTCTCAAATTCTGTACAGCTGTGATCTGAGGAAGATCCCCCATCCAGTGTTGGTTTTTCATATACTCAACTAACATTCTTCGGGGACTGGCACCAACGACAGACAGGCAAGGCACTGTGATCTGTGCCCTCCGTAGCTTTCCACCAGTGTGGGCCCCGAGGGGTACCGTGGAATAAAGGAAGCCCAAGACTGAGCTGGGGAAAGTGCTACAGGAACCTCGTAACTGCATTGGCGTTGAAGTCCCATGTCTCAGAAGTTCCTGGCACTGGTATGATAGGCACAAATGCCTCCCTTGATTGGGTAGTGCTTAATGCTAGGGGTGGGGACAAGGTGACTCTTCTCATCGGTTGCAGTTGGAAGTGACAGGCAACTTAGAGGAAATGAATCATAGGAATGAGGATAGTGGCCGGCAGGGGGTTCGGACAGTTGGTTGAGCTGCACTTGGTTTGGGGTTCACCTGAACAAATATAAGTAAAGAAGCACATTTGGGAGAAAAGATGATGAGGGTAAGCCCAGTTTTGCCCCCCTGGTGTTGTGGGGATGTGGGGCCTTTAGCTGGGGAAGGCCCAGGGCACTGGAGGGAGGCTGGGTTGGCGGTAGGATCAGAAAGACATGGAGCACCTGGCTGGCTCAGTTGGTGGAGCTTATGACTCTTGATCTCAGGGTTGTGAGTTCAGGCCGCACGCTGGGGTGTAGAGAGTTCTTAAAGAGAAAAAAGAAAGAAAAGACATTTGGAAGAGGTGCTAGAAGAAGTGTTTCTGCATCCGAGATGCACCCTGTGATGGAACTTTGAGAACTAGTCCATAAGCCATATCCAGATCTGGGGATTGATTTTGAGAAGTGCTTTTCTGAAAGTGTGTGTAATTCCATTTCATTGTTTCCTGTAGGAATTGAGAACAGAAGCTATTGCCAGGCCTCTGGAAATAAACGAGACTGAAAAAGTGATGAGAATTGCAATAAAAGATATTTTGGTAAGATTATTTGCTTTTATTTAGTGTTTTTGTGCCTGGAACTTGAAAATACTGATTTAATCCCTGCCTCCTTAAGACACACCAACCCTAGGCCTAGTGACAGAGAAGGGATATGATCGCGGGGAAATGGGAAATGCAGAGGATGTTCTAGGATACATTCTAGGTTACTTACTTCCTTTTTCCCCCTTGTTATAAATATGAACAACTTCTCCCCCCAAATTTGTCAGTTTTAATAATTTAATAATTTGATTAAATTCTTCAATTTTCCTAAGTAATGCTCTATTTAATGGACTCTTCAGGGTCACCTGGGTGGTTCAGTGGTTAAAGCCTCTGCCTTCGGCTCAGGTCATGATCCCAGGGTCCTGGGATCGAGCCTCACATCGGGCTCTCTGCTCAGCAGGGAGCCTGCCTCCTCCTCCTCTCTCTCTCTGCCTGCCTCTCTGCCTACTTGTGATCTGTCTGTCAAATAAATAAAAATCTTTAAAAAATAATAATAATAATGGACTCCTCACACTTTAATCACTTCCTTGCTGCTGGGCATTTAAGTGATTTTCAGGTTTTTCATTTATTTATTTGGTGCTGAAACCTGGGCACAGATTTCTTTCTCTCTCTCTCTCGTTTTATTTTATTTTTTTAAAAGATTTTATTATTTATTTGACAGACAGAGATCACAAGTAGGCAGAGAGGCAGGCAGAGAGAGAGAGAAGCAGGCTCCCTGCTGAGCAGAGAGCCCATGTAGGGCTTGATCCCAGGACCCTGAGGTCATGACCTGAGCTGAAGGCAGAGGCTTAACCCACTGAGCCACCCAGGCGCCCATCCCTTTTTTCAAAGATTTTTTTTATTTTGCAAGAGAGAGAGGAAGCATGTGCATACACACATGCAAGCATGAGCAGGGGGAAGGGCAGAGGGAGAATCAGACTCCCTGCTAAGCAGGAAGCCGGACAAAGGACTTCATCCCAGGACCCTGACATCATGATCTGAGCAGAAGGCAGATGCTTAACTGACTGAGCCCCCCCAGGTGCCATTTTCTTTCTTTCTTCTTGAAGAATGGCTGGCACACAGGGTTAGCCCCAGGTGTGCACCGTGGATGGTGAGCACCTTTTAACGTGTCTGTGCTTGCAAAAGGTCCATGATACGTGATAATTCTGAAAACAAAACCAAAGCAATAGCATGAATACTGGGGTTATGATCTGTAGGCCATTTGTTTCAGAAAGCTAGGGGAAATTGTGTTTATCACACGGATACTTTTTTTTCACAGTTTTTTAAAAAGGATTATTAGAGTGTCTGGGTGTGTGCCTGCGCTGGCGAGACTCAGAGGGAGAGATAATGTCAAGCAGCCTCCCAGCTGAGTGCAGAGCCCAGCGCAGGGCTAGTTCCCATGACCCCGAGATCATGACCTGAGCCAGAACTGGGGTCAGACACTTAACCAACTGAGCCACCCCGGTGCCCCGCTGGTATTTCCTGTTTGAGGAGCACAGACCTTTAAAAAACTGCTTTTTTTGAAGTCAGATACATTCACTAGGTGTAGTCTGACTGATTCAGAGAAGAGTCACCGTCAGTGTGCGCTGTTCAGAAACTTGCCTTGTCTTCCTGTGAGAGTGAGCTCATACCTCTTGCGGGTTTTTCCAATGGAGAGTGATATGATTATTTTCATGAAATGATTAGTGTACTTAGTTGAAAAAAGTTCAGCCATAAATAAAGAATAAAAGTGGTTGCTCCCAGATATACACTGTCTTTGACAGTCACAGAGAGTGTCTGGGCTCCTTCAAGGAGTTCTTCATGGACCCTAGAGTGTCTCAGAGACCTGCAGGTAAACAGTCACTCAGTGTTTGCAGGGTGCGACACATTGTGCTGAAGTCCTGGGGGGAGAACCCCATGTGGGACATCAGGAACTTAAGGCCGAGTTGGCACATCAGAACCCAGAAGGCAGTGGCACACTCAGCTGGCTGGTTCCAGATGTGGTTCCTAATGCGACAGATTGCAACTGAGCCGTAGGCCTGCCCGGCCAGCTTCCCAGGCAACACAGGTGTGAAGACCGTGCATTCATTCTGACCTCCGCTTGTCAGATGAACTTGGTCTTGTGATAGAGCAGAGAGGCCTGTGGGTTTTGTCCGTGATCTCTCTTCCCCTTCACTTTGTTTCTCTGCCCCAGCTGCCCAGGCTCCCTCCCAAAGGCTCGGTCCACTGAGGGAACCGCTTTCTCGCTGACTTCACAGAGTGGTTTCCCTGTTTTAGTCTGTAGTTGAGGTGTACTTGCCAGCCGGAGGGAGGGGAAACTTTCTCTCTCAGTCCCAGCAGACAGTGGACAACGGCTGGGACCACCTGATGTTTCTTTTTGTCCCCTGGTGCATATATCCTGGGATCCAGATGTTTGTAACTAGGGGAGTGAGCGGAACAGTGAGAATAAAGGCAGACGGACAAGCCAGAGTGGTACGGCAGCCGTGTGAGCCAATGACCACACATGACGTCTGGGCCTGCTCCCTCTGCTCTGGACACTGTTCCTTCCATCCTCCCTTGTTTGCGTGGCTACAAACACCCTCTTCTCAGGGGAAAGGATGATCATTTTTTCTGGGCCTGTGTGACCTCCTGTCTGGAAACGGCTAACTGAGTGATGGCTTGGGGGAGGGGAGTGTGCTCTGTGTGTTTACTTTTGCTTTTATGCAGCATGATGTCGCTGTGCCTGAGGAGCTATGGAATTCCTCTCTTCCGGGAGCCACATGGGAATTGCTTCCTGGGCCTTCGTCTCATTCATTTCCTATTCGACGCAGGCGCAGGTGCAGAAGACTAAAGATCTGCTCAACAACGTGGCCTCTGACGAAGCTAACCTAGAAGCCAAGATCGAGAAGAGGAAGTTAGAACTGGAACGAAATCGGAAGCGGCTTCAGACTCTGCAGAGTGTCAGGTAGATCCAAATCCCTGAAGAGTGGGTGGAAAGTTGTCTTGCACGTTCTAGCAGCGTGAGGACAAGTGGTCAGTGGTGGTAGCCCCTCGGGCGTGGGGCCATCTGGACTGAGGGTGTGGGGGCCACATGGGTCCTAACATGCGCCCTGCCAGACTCGTTGTCTTTACTGTTCTCAGTATGCCTGGGAAACGGCTCCATTCAGGGTTCTATGGTTTCTTGGAATGCAGGGCAGAGTAAGTGAACCCAGAGGGTGACAGTTACCCAAAGCTCGTCTCCATGAACGAGGTTTAAGCAGAAGCACGCTTACCATTTCTTAGTTTGAGCAGATTTTAGACCTTTGTAATTCTTCACCAGTTCATCTTTCTTTTGACTTTGCCCCTCTGAAAGGACCTTTTTCCAGGGACTCTGAATGGTACCGTCCAGGTCTTCGGAGCCTTTCAAGTGGGTTCCTCGCATTTTCTTAGAGCCTTTCTCTCGCTCATTTTGCACCCTCCTTCTCTTGCTCCGTCTCTTGTCAGTCTTTCTCCTGCATCACTACTCTGCTTTTTCATTCTGCCTTTATTTTTCTCTCTTCCTTCCATCTGTGTAGCTGTGCATCTGTCTGAATGTCATGCTTTTTGGAGATACTGGTGACTGGCCCACACCCTGCCACTAATCCTGACATCTGTGGGAAGATAGCCCCTGCAGACATGAGTAACCCAGGGAGCGGAGCCACAGGCAAGCCCATGCCCCTTCCACCTTTGTAGTCTGGGCCACCTGATACGTGTGTCTCATTAAAAAATTCTGTCTCGGGGCGCCTGGGTGGCTCAGTGGGTTAAGCCTCTGCCTTTGGCCCAGGTCGTGATCTCAGGGTTCTGGGATCAAGCCCCACATGGGGCTCTCTGCTCGGAAGGGAGCCTGCTTCCCCCTCTCTCTCTGCCTGCCTCTGTGCCTACTTTTGATCTCTCTCTCTGTGTCAAATAAATAAATAAAATATATATTTTTTTTTTTTAAAGATTTTATTTATTTATTTGACAGAGAGATCACAAGCAGGCAGAGAGATAGGAGGAAGCAGGCTCCCCGCTGAGTTTTTTTTTTTTTGCTTCCCCCTCTCTCTCTGCCTGCCTCCTCTCTCCCTGTGTTTGTTCTCTCTGTCAAATAAATAAATAAAATCTTTAAAAAAAAAAAATATATATTTTATTTATTTATTTGACAGAGAGATCACAAGCAGGCAGAGAGAGAGGAGGAAGCAGGCTCCCCGCTGAGCAGAGAGCCCGATGCGGGGCTCGATCCCAGGACTCTGAGATCATGACCTGAGCCGAAGGCAGCGGCTTAACCCACTGAGCCACCCAGGTGCCCCTAAATAAAATATTTTTTAAAAAATTCTGCCTCTCGGGCATAAATTCATTTTTGTTAAGCCTCATGGCCTTTCAATAGAAAAGTTTCTGTATTTTGCTCTAGTTCCAAAGATTATTTATTATTTTTTAGTGTATCTGTTTGTATTTTTATTAATTTTTTTAAAAGATTTTATTTATTTATTTGACAGAGAGATAGAAAGCACAAGTAGGCAGAGCAGCAGGCAGAGGGAGAGGGAAAAGCAGTCTGTCTGCTGAGCAGGGAGCCCAGTGCGGAACTTGATCCCAGGACCCTGGCATCATGACCTGAGCCAAAGGCAGCTGCTTAACTGACTGAGCCACCCAGGCGCCCCTTATTTATATTTTAAAAGATTTTATTTATTTATTAGAGCACAGAAACCACGGGGGGGCAGCACAGAGGGAAAGGGGGAAGCAAGCTCCCAGCTGAGCACGGAGCCAGATGGAGGACTCAATCCCAGGCCCCTGGGATCATGACCCGAATGGAAAGCAGACACTTAACCAACTGAGCCACCCAGGCGCCCCTGTTTATATTGGTAAAAGAAGAGAGTTTTCCCAGGGCGCCTGGGTGGCTTAGTGGCTTAAAGCTTCTGCCTTTGGCTCGGGTCATGATCCCAGAGTCCTGGAATCGAGCCCCGCATCGGGCTCTCTGCTCAGCAGGGAGCCTGCTTCCTCCTTTCTCTCTCTCTGCCTGCCTCTCTGCCTACATGTAATTTCTATCTGTCAAATAAATGAATAAAATCTTAAAAAAAAGTTTTCCCTTTAAGATAAAAAATAAGAGAAAAGAATAGATTCAGCAAACCAGTTGAAACAGGTTTTTGTGTTATGGTTTTGGTTTTCGATTTTATATTGTTAAACCTTAGCTTTGGGGACGCCTGGCGGTGCAGTGTTAAGCATTGGACTCTTGGTTTCAGCTCAGGTCGTGGTGCAGCCCCATGTCGGGCCCCCACTCAGCGTGAGTCTGCTTGAAGGTCCTCTCCCTCCCTCTCCTTCTGCCCCTCCCTGTGTGCAATCTCTCTCTCTCAAGAAAAAAAAATTATAAAGTCTTTTTTAAAAATTTAGCTTTAGGGCGCCTGGGTGGCTCAGAGGGTTAAAGCCTCTGCCTTTGGCTCAGGTCATGATCCCAGGGTCCTGGGATCGAGTCCCACGTCGGGCTCTTCTGCTCAGCAGGGAGCCTGCTCCCCCCCCCACCCCGCCTGCCTCTCTGCCTACTTGTGATCTGTATCTGTCAAATAAATAAAATCTTTTTTTTTTTAAGATTTGATTTATTTATTTGACAGAGAGAGGTCAGAAGTAGGCAGAGAGGCAGGCAGAGAGAGAGGAGGAAGCAGGCTCCCTGCCAAGCAGAGAGCCCGATGCGGTGCCCGATTCCAGGACCCCGGGATCATGACCTGAGCCGAAGGCAGAAGCCTAACCCACTGAGCCACCCAGGTGCCCCAATAAATAAAATCTTTAAAAAAAAAAATGTAGCTTTAATTTGTTGCAACCTGCGTTTCCCTTTTTTGGCAGCTGAATACATTTTGGAGCATGCAGACAGCGAGTATTACGCTTAAGTAAGATAATGTGTGTACTTCTTGATTTTGTGAGGTGTATGTGATACAAGGTAACTTTTTTTTTTTAAAGGTACGGGGCCCAATTCCAGGACCCCGGGATCATGACCCGAGCCGAAGGCAGAGGCTTACCCCACTGAGCCACCCAGGCGCCCCACAAGATAACTTTTTAAGTCTATTAAAATCCAAGGCATGTTGAGTAAGAGAAAAGACTGCAAAGCTTCATTGAAGATAATAAACTTAATGATGCTTAAAAGTATGTGCCATGTATGTATCCATGCATAGGAAAGTCTGGAAGAATGCTTATCAATTATTAAGTGCTTATATATGGTGATAGGATTATGAGTAATTTTTTTTAAAGATTTTATTTATTTATTTGAGAGAGAGAGAACATGAGAGGGCAGAGGGTCATAGGGAGCCTGACATGGGACTCGATCCCATGGGATTATGACCTGAGCCAAAGGCAGTTGCTTAACCAACTGAGCCACCCAGGCGACCCGGATTATGAGTAATTTTTACTTTAGACTTCATACTTTCAGGATTATTTCAAATTTTTACAAAGAGCTTTTGATTGTTTTGGGGTGGGTTTTTTTTTGTTTTTGTTTTGTTTTTATTTGAGAGAGAGAGCATGCACAAGCAGGGGGACCAGCAGAGAGAGGGAGAGGGAGAAGCAGGCTTCCCACTGAGCAGGGAGCCCAACATGGGACTCGATCCCAGGACCCTGGGATCATGACCCTATCCAAAGGCAGACAACTGAGCCACCCAGGTGCCCCTAAGAGCTTCTGATTTATTTATTTATTTATTTTTAAAGATTTTATTTATTTGACACAGAGAGAGAGACATCACAAGTAGGCAGAGCAGCAAGCAGAGAAAGAGGGGGAAGCAGGCTCCCTGCTGAGCAGAGAGCCTTATGCGGGGCTCGATCCCAGGACCCTGGGATCATGACCTGAGCCAAAGGCAGAGGTTTTAACCCACTGAGCCACCCAGGGGCCCTGAGCTTTTGATTTAAAAAAAAAAATAATAATAAGTATGTTCATTTTGGGGGGGGCAGAGAAAAGGAAAATTAACTTTATTTATTAAGATTTTATTTATTTATGGGCGCCTGGGTGGCTCAGTGGGTTAAGCCGCTGCCTTCGGCTCAGGTCATGATCCCAGGGTCCTGGGATAGAGTCCCGCATCGGGCTCTCTGCTCAGCAGGGAGCCTGCTTCCCTTCCTCTCTCTCTGCCTGCCTCTCTGCCTACTTGTGATCTCTGTCTGTCAAATAAATAAATAAAATCTTTAAAGAAAAAAAGATTTTATTTATTTATTTGACAGAGAGAGATCACAAGTAGGCAGAGGCAGGCAGAGAGAGAGAAGAGGAAGCAAGCTTCCCCCTGAGTAGGGAGCCTGATACAGAGCTCGATCCCAGGACCCTGAGATCATGACCTGGGCCAAAGGACAGGTGCCCTGTCTGAGCCACCCAGGTGCCCTGGAAAATTAACTTGAAGCAGCTACAAGTGGAAGAACCATCTCCAGCTACAGGCTTTCCACAGCAAACCATGGTGGGACCCAGAACTCACAGTATAGTTTCAAAGTTCTGTATGTTCATTAATCTTTCACTTTTTTTTTTTTTATTTGACAGAGAGATCACAAGTAGGCAGAGAGGCAGGCAGAGAGAGAGGAAGGGAAGCAGGCTCCCTGCTGAGCAGATAGCCCGATGTGGGGCTTGATCCCAGGACTCCGGGATCATGACCTGAGCTGAAGGCAGAGGCTTTAACCCACTGAGCCACCCAGGCGCCCCAGTCTTTCACTTTTTATTTCATTTGGTTGTTCCAGGCCAGCGTTTATGGATGAATATGAGAAGATCGAGGAGGAGTTGCAAAAGCAGTACGACATTTATCTAGAGAAATTTCGAAATCTGGCTTATCTGGAACAGCAGCTTGAAGACCATCACAGGATGGAGCAAGAGAGGTTTGAGGCAAGTGCTTGGCCCGTAGGTCCGCCTAGACCATTCGGCTGGGTTAGTATGTACTTGCTGACGCGTCCGTTTGCAAATAGCATTGTGGAAAAAATAAATCTGTGAGTGTTTTTTCACCGCGATCAAGTTTGAGGATTGCTCATGTAATTCTTTTGTGTTGCTTTTAGTGTAGCCTGGACTCGAGGGTTGTTGGCTCTCTGATGGGTTTGGTCAGTTAGACCGCACATAGGACCGACGTGTGACCTGTGTCATTGCACAGACTCAGCTTAGAAGAGCCTGTGCTTGCTTCAGTGCTGTGCTGTCACTGACTTGAAATTCCTCACAGTTTCTTTTTTAAGATTTTATTTATTTATTTGAGAGAGAGATAGAGAGAACACGAGGGGGAGAAGGTAATAGGGAGAAGCAGACTCCCCATCTAGCTGGGAGCCCGATGCCGGGACTCAATCCTGGGACCCTGTTGGGACCATGACCTGAGCCGAACGCAGATGCTTAACCAACTGAGCCATCCAGATGCCCCGAAATTCTTCATAATTTTTAAAATGCATTTTAATTTGTACTGAGTTCCACAGACTAGGTGACTGGTCTTGGGTAAAGATCTAAAAACTTGCTTGGTCAGTTCACTGAAAGATTTCTCCTGGTTAATTGAATCATCCAAACCTGTGTATCAGAGATGAAGAGGAAAATAAAGAGGAAATGCGGTTTATTGATTATTGTGGGAAATGTGTATGACCCAGAACCAGAGATTTTACAGGCTCCTCTCATCCCAGTGTTCAAGGCCATTTAGGAAAGAGCATTTCAGGTCCCATGAGCTGATAAATACGGAATTCAGAGCAAAGGAAATTGGACCAAGTTACTATCAGGTTTTGAATTACCTGGATGGCAATTATTATTATATTTTTTTTTTGTCTTTTTTTCAGAGAGAGAGAGAGGGAGAGCACAAGCAGGCAGAGCAGCAGGCAGAGGCAGAGAGAGAAGCAGGCTCCCTGTTGAGCAAGAAGCCCGAGACGGGACTCGATCCCAGGACCTTGGGATCATGACTTGAGCCGAAGGCAGCGGTCCAAACAACGGAGCCACCCAGGCGTCCCGTTACTATCAGTTTTTTAATTGTCCTTATGCCTTGGGGTTATTTCTACTTACCCCAGGAGTGGTCACTTGGAATCTGTGTTCATGATGAAATCGGTCTACAGTCTCCCTTCCTCACGCTGTCCTTGACAGCTTTGGGTATAAAGGTTACGCTCACCTTCCTACAAACCTGGGTGTTTGGAACACGCGAAGCTGCCCTGGGGCACAGGAGGCCTGGCTGGAGGTAGGTTCCGCCCTCCTGCGGGCACCTTTCCCTCGACGAGGAGCCCGCTGCCACCGTTGCTCTAGGGTAAGGGCAGGCTGGGAGCCACGGGTCTGGGACGGGCACATTTGGAGAGCAGTGGCAAAAGTCTGGAGTTCAGGACATTTTAAAAGTTGGGTGTCTGGGCCAGTGACGGTAAAGTGATCCTTCCGCGCTGTCGTGTGGGGCCGCTGAGCGGGCAGAGAGCGTGCCGGGAGCGGGGAGCGCGCCTTGGGCCGCGCGTGCCTCCATCCTTCGGCAGCCGCTCGGCGCTTCTGCTGTGCTCGCAGCTCCGCTCCGTGCTTACAGCGCCGGCCCCTCGCGCTAGCTCGTGCACAAAACAGTGCTCTCTTTTTAATGTTTTAGAACAACAGAGTTTTAAAAGCCAGTCTCCTCTCCCGTTCTCTCTTTTGACGGTGATCAGGGCCACATTGGGCAGCCCAGCTGAAGCATTAGCTTTTGTCCCCCTAGGAGTTAGACGAGTGTTTCTTTCTTTCTCTTTTCATCCTAATCAGTCTCACCATTTTGCTTCTTTTGGGGCTGGAGTCGTGCAGAACTTTAGTCTTTAGGAGCAGGAGGCCCATACTATCCCATAGTTTATGCGTCTGTTCCTGTGTCCACATCCCACGGCGGCACCCATGGTCACACGTGATGGCCTCTTGCCATGTCACTGCATTCTCCGCAGGGCTGGGAGGGCCAGTCACCCCCTCTGGCTGCCTCCGGTTCTCTGGGCTGCTGCTGGCGGAGAGCGGGGCGAGTGGCCCGGCCTGAGCCGGTGCTCAGGTGGTGGTGTTCTCTTCGCATCGTTTAGATCTCCGCAGGTTCTGTAGCCCGGACTTAGCTCTATGTACCCAGATGCTAAAGAATAATAAAACGGCCCCAAAAAGGGTCCTGTCTTCTGAGTTTTGTGTTTGCTGTTCCATAGGAAGCCGAGAACACTCTGCGCCTGATGCAGAACAAGCTGAAGGAGGAGGAGAAGCGTCTGCTCCGCAGCGGAAGTAAGGCCAGGCTCCCGGTCAGCGCGGTCTCCCCGGGCGAGCGCAGAGGGGCCTCAGAAAACCTCTGTGTGTATTTTATTTCTTTTTAAAAGGCAGTTTTCTCACAAGTTTTTTATCAGGTACCATTTTAATTCACTCCAGAGCTTAAGGGGCTGGTTCAAGTTACATAACATTTAAAGCACTTTGGTTTTCTTGTCACCTAAAATACCGTTTTCCTGTTTGAAGGCTACTGTTGGTTTGAATTGCAGATAATACGTAACTAGGAAAGAGAACCGGGTCTCAGAGGTCTGTAGGGTGCCTTGTTTTCGGGCAGACTGATGGAAAGCAAGTGTCGTGATGCCGTGCATGCAAATGGCTCAGTTGCCTAGAGTGAGTCCCCTACCTACATACCTGTCCTAGGCACCCAGTGACCCAAGATGATCAGCGAGGCTGTCGTCTGTAGGGAAATGGGGTTACCTATATATAGGAGCTTGATGCTGGGGAAGACTGTTCTCCACGACTGGCTAGCGTGCTTCATCCATGAACTTGACCGAGATGTCAGGTCAGCCTCAGGACCAGTGGCAGCACGTGGTCTTCATGCTGCGTGTCTCAGACTGCCTCCTTCTCTTCCTTGCTGCTCTCTTTTTTAAGATGAAATATTTTATTCTCCTGTGCTTGAGGATGCCATACCTCGGGCTTCAGGCTTGTACGTAAGCTCTCTCTCTCTGTATCTCTCTCCTTTCGTACTTGTTACATGCCTCTCTCTCCTAAATCTCAGGAAACTCTGGAGGGAGAATAGGGACTGCTGGAAAATCCTGTAGGGGCAAGTGTAGGGAATTCCAAGGGCCTCTCTAGCCAAAGCAGCCCCTCACCTTTATGGTTCCAGGTCAGCCAGGAGAGCCTGAAGCAGCCCTAAGTGATAAGCCTGCGTGGAGTTTATCCCCTCCCGAGAGGCCCAGCACAGGTAAGAGCCCTGATGGGTTGGCTGCACCTTCTTCTGTTCCCAGGCCAGCACGTGAGGCCTTTCTCACTGATCTTGCTTTATTCTTCTGAACTCAGACTTAATTTTGTGATCCGTAGGTTTGGGATCTCTTGAAGGACAAGCACTCATAGGAGCATCTCTGATTTAGCTTTTTTGGGAAAAATAATTTCCAGCTTAAAGCAACTGAATGAAGGATAGCACTTAATTAGCTTGGGATGGGCGAAGAAGTTAGGAAAATTTGAAGGACTGTTCTCAGTTCTGCTCAGCCGGAAGTTCTTATGTTGTTCTGCCTGTCTTTGTTTTGCTGTATATGTGGGAACATTGCCCAGAGAATTGGGATTGGGGAGGCGGATATAAAAAGGAAGACTTTCTGAACAACTTCTCTGAAAAGAAAGACCTACTAGAACACAGACATGAATTATGGGTGAGAGTGAGCAAAATCCAGGAGCTGGAAGAGATCATCGTGTTTAGACCACTCTGCAGGCACCTGATCAAGTGCCGGAAGCATTGTTGAGTCTCTCTTCTGGGCGTGAAGGATTCATTAATGGACAAAAGACAGGGATCTCTGCTTTAAGCAGTGTACTTGCCAGTGAGGAGACGAGCATAGAGCAAGCTGTGTGCAGAAGGTAAAAAATGCCCTGGGGAGTACAGTAGAGCAGAGAAGGGGGTGGAGAGGGTGGGATGGAATTGTATTTTAAGTAGGGGTCTGCGTAGGCATCTCTGTAGGCCTCAGTAGGAGATGCTGTTGAAGCAAAGCCTCAGTCTGTGGATGTGGGGAGAAAGGAGGCACCAGGTGAGAGTCCTGGGAGTCTGTAAGAGCGTGGGAAGCAGAGCCCAGTGAGGCAATGAGCTCTGCTGAATGTGTGAATGCAGGACTTGAACTCAGGCAGGACAGACGAGCTGGAAGGCGGATCGTGTGCTGAAGGGCTCCCATCTGACGCTCCTGTCTTCTCTGTTGAGCAGGAGTTGAAGTCACCAAACTGGCTTTGTGGGTTTGGAGGAAGGGACTTGAAGAAGAGAGAGAAAATCTGAGTGCTTAGGGATAGGAGAATGCCCTAGGAGCAAGGTTAAGTATTTTGTTCGGTTGCTCTGTGCTAGAAGTAAGGCAGCCTTCATCTTCCCACCATCCTTTTAAACCTTGCTACGGGTGGTAAATTCATAAAATGACTGAGAAATTTATAGAAAGCACTTCAGTAACCTTGCTGTGGTTTAGTTTTTATGTTCTAGTGGAGAGCAGATATTCCTGCATTTAACACTTACTTTACTGCCTGCCTCCTGCATGCAGGCATTGTGCCGGCGCTCGGGACGCGGTGAGGCATGAGGCGCTCGGGAAGCTCGGAGGCTGGAACTGTGCTGCCCAGTACCTCACCGCAAGCCACGCGTGACTCTTTTTGGTTTTTTTAAAAGATTTTATTTATTTGACAGAGAGAGAGAGAGATCACAAGTAGGTAGAGAGGCAGGCAGAGAGAGGAAGGGAAGCAGGCTCCCCGCCGAGCAGAGAGCCCGATGTGGGGCTCGATCCCCAAACCCTAGGATCATGACCTGAGCTGAAGGCAGAGGCTTAACCCACTGAGCCACGCAGGCGCCCCAACCATGTATGACTCTTGAGCACTTCAGGTGTGGCTGGTCTAAACTGAGCTTTGCTGTTTGTGGAAAATATACACCAGGTTTTGAAAACTTAATATGATAGAAAAGTACAATTACTCATTAATTAATATTTTACATTGTATATTGAAATGATATTTTGGATATACTGGGTTAAGTTAAAATTAATTTACCTGTTTTCTTTTTACTTTAACGTTGTTACTAAATGATTTGAAATTACATCTGCCAGCAGGCATTACATTTGGACTGTACTGATCTCAAAGGAGACACAAAGGAACTGCCCGTAATTGAAGTGGGTATGAAGTGTATCTTCATTGTGGTTTTGACGTGAATTCCTCTGATAGCTAATGAAATGGAGCATCTTTTCTTTGCTCATTGGCTATTCATATAAATCTTCTTTGGAGACTTCTGTCTATTCAGGTCCTTTGGACATTTTTAAATTGGGTTATTTTTTATTAGTGAATTGCTAGAGTTCTTATATAGATTCTGGATACTAGATCCTTATGTGATTTGTGATTTGCAGATATTTTCTCTCATTCTCTGGGCTGTCTTTGCACTTTCCCGGTGATGGCTTCTGCTGCCCAAAGTTTTAATGAAGTCCACGCCATCAGTTGTCCTTTTGTCACTTGTGTTTTTAGCGTCACATCTAAGAAACCATTGCCTAATTTAAGGCCACCAGGATTTACCCCTAGGTTTTTTTCCAGGACTTTTACAATTACAACTCTTAATTTAGATTTCTGATCCATTTTTAGTTAATTTTTGCATGTGGTGTGAGGTAGGGATCCAACCTCATTGTTGGGTATGGGGCTGTCCAGTCGTTCAATACCATCTGTTGGAAAGACTATTCTTGACTCTGAATTTTATGGGCGTTCTTGTCTGCCATACTTAATTATATATTTTTTAAAGACTTTATATGAGAGAGAGTGAGTGAGAGCACATAAGCAGGGGAAGTGGCAGGCAGAAGGAGAGGGAGAAGAGACGGAGAGTTTGATCCCAGGACCTGGAGACTGTGACCCAAGCCGAGGACAGACACTTAACCACTGAGCCACCCTGGCACCTTTCCATGCTTCATTTTTTTATTTTTTATTTTTTATTTTTTATTTTTTATTTTTTTTAATTTTATTTATTTATTTGACAGACAGAGATCACAAGTAGGCAGAGAGGCAGGCAGAGAGAGAGGAAGGGAAGCAGGCTCCCTGCTGAGCAGAGAGCCGGATGTGGGACTCGATCCCAGGACCCTGGGATCATGACCTGAGCCGAAGGCAGCGGCTCAACGCACTGAGCCACCCAGGCGCCCAATGCTTCATTTTTTTAAAAAAGATTTTATTTATTTATTCGACAGAGAAAGAGAACACGAGAAGGCAGAGAGGAGGCAGAGAGAGGGGAGGAAGCAGGCTTTCTGCTGAGCAGAAAGTTGGATGCAGGGCTCAATCCCAGGACCCCAAGATCATGACCCGAGCCGAAGGCAGAGGTTTAACCCACTGAGGCACCCAGGTGCCCCAGGAATTTCATTTTAGTCATAAATTTGTGTTAATATTTCAGCATGTTCTTTGAGTAGGCTTCTATGAGGTGGTAGTGATCAGCTAGGTTGTGCTGAGGCCCGTGCTGGGTGCTCATCCTCATGCTTGCCCAGGCTCCCAGGTTTGCCTTTCCGTGCGGAGAGCACGGCTCGTCCTCTGCGGGGAGGGAAGTGGAGCCCTTTCCCTCAGTGCCCAGCTGGATGCAGCTGCCGTTTCCCTACCCCCATCACAGGGGCTAAGCAAAGCCTTTTCATAGATACACAATTACTGTCCTTCCACACTGATTTCTAACTCAGTGATCAGAACAGCAACTGCAAACTCCTTCAGTTCTGTCCTCCAAAACCAGTGTGTCTCCCTGGTCACAGGGAATCAGGCTGGACGGTGAAAACTTTTTCTCTCCACTGTGGAAACACTCCTTCTCTAGGTTCGCTGTCGGAAGCGTCCCACCAGAGTCCCAGAGAGTATTTAAGAAATCAGTGTATAAGGCTGTTGCACTGAGAACGATCTCTCTTTATATATGCCCGTGATGGAATTCTCTCCTGGAAGCAGTGTCCTGAGTACCAGCTCCCGTCACCGTGCACTAGGTCGCCATCTTTCGTGGGCCAGCCGCGTGCTTGGACGTTGCTGGCCTGGTCTCTGTCTTGCCTGCGGGCTTGTTTGGCGCAGTCACTCACCTTTGCAGTGGGTTCCACTTCTTCATCTTCGTTCTCCACAAAGAGCTCAAGTTGGGGTAACACTGAACAGAGAATGATCCCCCCCAACTAACCAAGAACTTCCAGCTACCTTGACAGCTGGCTGTTCAATTTTTAGTTTCAGCCGCCGGCATAGTGTTTCTAGTTGATGTATTCTGATGCCTTGCTTTGGAAGGTTATTTAAAAACAAAATAAAACAAATAAACCAGTATATCATTGTCTGCGTTAACTTCTAAGTATCTACAGGCAAATCCCGAGAGTCTCATAAATCTAATGCGCTAAAAGAAGCCTGAGAAGTGCAGACGGTTTTGCACAGAGCCTTGTGGCTAGAAGCTGTTCTAGCAGCAATGATGGAGCCCCCCTTTCGTTCTGTGTTCTTGTGTTCTCCTAGGTAATGATGACTCGGACATTGACATCCAGGAAGATGACGAATCTGACAGTGAACTGGAGGAGCGGCGACTGTCTAAGCCACGGACGGCCATGGAGGTGCTCATGCAAGGTACCGCACTGCTCTCCTCGCCCTCCTCCCGGCGCCCTGGCGCAGAACGCTGCCTCTCGTGTAGCCGGACTAAGCCCTTCAGCTGCTCACCTTTGCTGCTAATACTCTTACCTGTGGTGCCAAGAAAAGCTGGTTGTTCTTTGTGGCCCGGGTTTCTCACAGAGGCCACGGCAATCCCCAGCCTCTGGCACAGAGCTGTATTCTACCCGTTTTGGGTCCAAACTGCTCTCAGTGCAGTGGCGTCCCCTGTGATCAGAGAACCCGTGCATAGAGAAGGGATTCACACAACCATCTCTGCCTTTTTTTTTTTTTAAGATTTTATTTATTTATTTAACAGACAGAGATCACAAGTAGGCAGAGAGAGAGAGAGAGAGAGAGAGAGAGAGAGAGAGGAGGAAGCAGGCTCCCCACTGAGCAGAGAGCCCGATGTGGGGCTCGATCCCAGGCCCCTGGGATCATGACCTGAGCCGAAGGCAGAGGCTTTAACCCACTGAGCCACCCAGGCGCCCCCCATCTCTGCCTTTTAAAAATCTTCTAGTTTCTACTTTTTCACTGCTAAGCACTCAAGTCAAAAAAAATCTGTGGAGCAGATGTGGGTGTTCCCCAGGGGTCTTCTTCATGTCCCACTTTCCACCCTAGAGGGGTCCTGGTCAGTGGCTGGGGGATGGGTCTTTCCAAATTGCCTTTCCACACGTATACAGTGAAATACAGACACAAAGATCGGCTGAGACATCTTTTAACCTAAATGGTACCAGACTTTGTGTATTGTTCTCAACTTGATTTTTTAAAAATTATTAAATATATTAGAACTCCTTCCATGTCAGCAAACTAGAAATCTGCTTCATTCTTTTGACAGCTGCAGAGTGTTCCGTAGCATGACCGTACCCATAATTTACTTGGGCATTCACATATTAAAAGATCCTTAAAAAAAATTTTATTTTTCCGGGACGCCTGGGTGGCTCAGTTGGTTAAGCGGCTGCCTTCGGCTCCGGTCGTGATCCCAGGGTCCGGGATCGAGTCCCGCATCCGGCTCCTTGCTCCGCGGGGAGCCTGCTTCTCCCTCTACCTCTCTGTCTGCCTGTGCTCGCTCTCTCTCTCTCTCTCTCTCTGACAAATAAATAAAATCTTTAAAAAAAAAATTTATTTTTCCTCTTTCCTTTGTATATACATCTTTCTGCTTATCTGCAATGTTTGTACCATTAAACGTAGGATTCTTAGGTCAAAGGTTATATAAATCTTTGTTTTGGTAGATACCACTAAGTTGCTTTATATTTGTCTTTAAAACATCTATCTACCAGCTGTTAATTTTTGGAGCAGTTTGCATTTTTATATACGTGGTACATTTCTGAGGTAAATTATCTTCATTTTATATTAAGTTTTGCTGCTAACTGCTCTTTTTTCGATTTTTACTTATTTATTTGTCAGAGAGAGAGCGCACATAAGCAGGGGGTGCAGCTGGTGGAGGGAGAAGCAGGCTCCCCACTGAGCAAGGAGCCTGATGCAGGACTTGATCCCAGGACCCTGGGATCATGACCCAAGCTGAAGGCAGATGCTTAACCCACTGAGCCACCGAGGCATCCCAGTCTTTTTTTTTCTTTTAAAGGTTTTAAAATTTATTTTAGAGAGAGAGTGAGCAGGGGTGTGATGGGGGGTGGGCAGAGGGAACGGGAGAGAGGATCTCAAGCAGACTCCATACCGAATGTGGAGCCCAACCCAGGGCTTGATCCCATGACCCTGAGTTCACGACCTGAGCTGAAATCAAGAGATGCTCAACAACTGAGCCACCCGGGCGCCCCTTTCCTCTTAGTTTTAACAGCTTCATCATGCAAATAGAGGCTAGGGGTCATGACTCCCACTCAGCAGGTGGGAGCTGAGGCTCTGAAAAGGGATGTGATCGTCTCAGGAAACCCTGATAGAGGCACTGGTGCTCCTGAATTCTGCTGACCGCCCAGCCACCAGAAGGAAAATCTCAGAACTGTAAATAAGGGCTTTAGACAACACAAGGTTTGCATTTTATCTGATCAAGGGTGGTCACCCCGGGCCTGTCCCAAGCGAGCTCCTCTCTGAGCTGCCCTCCCTGCCTTCACCCTGCAGCGTGGACCTGGGTCCCTGGTGCTCCTTTCTCAGGGGTGGAGTGTGAGAGTGGCTGTCTGCCTCCCGCCAGTGAAGGACAGCTCCTGGGTGTTTGCATAAGTCACAGCCAGGTGACCGTGACTTCCAGAGGAGAGGGGAGAATCACTGAGGCAATGTGGGTGTTTTGAAAGATGAATTAATAGCGATCCTTAGAAGTTTCCCTCTTCGGAGATCAGACATAGGTTCAGATACGAGTAACACTGGTCCGTGCAGCGAGGCGGCCTTTCTTTTTTCAGCAGATGGCACAGCTCTTCTACCATATAGATACTCAGAGTGGGGGTTAGTGGTTTTTCTGAAAACATGTCCAGGATGCATATTTAGTGTTCTGGTTTGAGTTGTGATTGTATTTTATTGCCTTTTTCCTTTTTCTCAAAGTGGAAATGCGGAAAATCCATTACAGTTTTGATCATTTAGATGAGACTTAAGTAAATTTTTTAGTTGATTCTTGTTTTTCCCAATTTTCTAAGGGAAACAAATCTTGAATGCCATTTCTTGCCCCTCCCCCTTTTTTAACAAGGTTTTCATAATTTCTTCACACTTTGGTTCTCCTTAGGAAGACCTGGCAAACGCATCGTGGGCACAATGCAGGGCGGAGACTCCGATGATGACGTGAGTCCCGACCAGCTCCCTTTAGCAGCTCTGTTCTTCTCGCTCCCGGGCTGGTTTCGTAGACTGGCTGAGCCAACAGGCTGGGCGTGAGGGGCTGCCTCCCAGCCTGGCCTGCTGCTGGCTGTGCGCTGGAGTTCGAGGAGCCCCACTCTTCTCTGCTTGTGGATGGCTCTTTTCTTTTCAAATGAATGTGCTTGCCCTCCCCCCACCTTTTTTTCCTTCTCACTATTCTTTCCATTCTCGCTTTCCAAAGATGGAAGCAGCACCAGCTCTCTTAGGTAAATGCAAGACTTCCAGCTCCAAGAAGCAGGTTGGTTTTCTTTTTCATTGTGTGTGTGTGTGTGTGTGTGTGTGTGTGTGTGTGTGTGTGTTAGCCGACTCAGGGCCAGCAGAGAGCCTTCACCAGAAGTGATGTCTCTGTCTCCTGGGCGAGAGAATGCATTCTCCTGCAGAGAATAGTGCAGTTGCCTGGAGGTTCCTTGCAGGAGAGGGGCGTTGAGTGCTGAGCCAAGAGATGAGAAAGGCTATTAGGTCCTTGAAGTGTAACCTGGAAAAGAAGGGAACCTGCTGAGGGCCCGGGGTCAAGACCAACCCTCTCTTCAATTCCATTCTGGGGAGGAAACAGGAAAAGGAGGCTCTCTTGAGACAAGGACATCAGGCTGGGCAGGAGGCTGCGACCTCAGGCTGCTGGCGCCTTGCGTGTACTTGAGGTAATACTGACGGGAAGACTCACTAGAATGGGGCCCTGCTGCCAGGGCTGCCCCATCCATCACCCTGGGCCTGCCTTCTTTGTGGCAGCCTCTGGTAAGCCTGTGAGGCAAAGGGTGATTAGGCTGACAGACCACAGACCTCCTTATCAGGTCGTTCCCACATGTGTCTGGAGCATGGCTGTAGTGGCTACACTACAGAGCATGAGCCTGACCTCCTTGTACAAAAGATTCCTTTATTTAGTACCAACAGTATATTTTGTGACTAAAATCCACAGAGGGAGAGAGAGGTCACTCAGGTTTGCTGGCCAAGATGCACAAAGAAGATCGAGCCTAGAAGTCACAGAAGGTAGTCTTAGAGAAGCAGAGAAACCACGTCGGGCATTTTCTAACAGTCAGGGACGGGTGGTTATGTAGCTTCCGCCCATCCATCTTAGCCATTCGAGGTAGAAATAAGTCTGGCCTGGGTGCTGGGGATGCCCGGACAGCTCCGTCTGGCATCTTGTCTTCCGATCTGCCTGGTCACACGTGTAGCTTTCGCAGAGCAAAAGTCCGAGCTACGGCTGACGTCTCCCCTGTGCCTTGTGTCGCTTGTTTGTTTCCGGGACGCTGCCTCCACACGCTCCGCAGGCACGCGGCCTTGTCCTTCACGGGCTCACTCTTCCACTTGACAGATACGTACCGAGTGGCTGTTACGTGCAAGTGTTAGAGGTGATGGGCTGCACGTCCCTGTCCTCAGGGAGCTTAAATTCCAGCAGGAATCAACCGGCATGTCAGGTCACAGTAGCAAGGAGAAAAACAAAGCAGTTCAGGAGCAGAGTGACAGGGTTGAAGGAGATTGCTGTCTTTTGGGAAGTCTGGGAATATCTCTCTGGTAAGGTGACATTTGGGCAGAGGCCTGAATGGAAGGAAGGATGTGGTGCAGGGAGGGGCATCTGAGGCCCAGGGACCAGAGATGGTAGCGTGGCTGGGGTGGAGTGGGCTGGGGGCGGGAGCTGCGAGAGGCAGCAAGGGCCAGGCAGAGCTTTGCAGGACATGACGAGGACCCAGAGTTTCTCTGAGCGCAGTGGGAAGGGGCCGGAAATCATGAGCCCTGCGGTGCCAAGAGCTAACATTTAAGAGACACCGTCGGGAGGCGTCTATAGTAGTCCGGAGGTGCCGGCGGCTCAGCCTAAGGTAGTGGCAGCAGAGGTGTAAAGAAGTGGTCGGACTCTGGATGTTTTCCAAGGTCAGAACATTGAAGTGTTGTTATTGGGCGTGGGGTGTGAGAAAGAGAGACAGAAATGGGTCATGATGGGCTAACAGTACGCATAGAGTCTGCATTTCCCCGAGCTGGGGCAGGCCTGAGCAGGGGCTTGGAGAGCAGCACAGGAGTTCGGACATTTTGTATGCGCGTTGCCTGCTGGCCATCCATGTGCTGGGGTTGAGTAACCAGTTGGAGTTCAAGTGTGGTGTGCAAGGTCAGGTCTGGGCTGGTTGAATTTGAGAGCCATCATAATCAGGTGGTCTTCCAGCCACAAGGGTACGTGTGATTGTGTGGGGGAGAGAGTAGAAAGAGAAGAGGGGGCCCAAGGCTCTGAGCTGAGCCGAGTCGCAGAGTCATGGAGATGGAGGGTGTGGGGGTGTGCGAGACTGGGACGATGCCTGAGTGAGGTGGGGCCGGCGGCCAGACGGAAGGGCGCCTGCAGCAGACCCACTTTCAGGGAAGGGGCGGTCCTGCGTCCGATGCGGCCTGGAGGTCAGGAGACACCTGAGACTCACCACTGGATGTGAGTCCGCTGAGTGTTTCAGTGGATTGGCAAGGTGCAGTCCTGCTGGGTGTGCCGAGGAGGTCGTGAGAGGGGAAACCAGTAGGGTCGTGGGTTCAGAATTCCTTCGAGGAGTTTCATTGTTGTGGGGGTAAAGGAACAGGGCAGAGCAGCTGGGGAGGAAGGTGGGATACACTTTGGGGTTTTTGTTTTGCTTTGTGTTTTTAAGAAGAAGGAAATTGCCACATGTTATGTATGCTGGTGGGAATGATCTAGCTCGAGGGGCTGGCCATCTTGGTTTACCTGGGAAACAGGACCTGCAGTTTTAAAACCTGGCCGAGTTGGTCAACTTAGATCGAGGTGATGGAGAGAGCGTTCCGCTTATTTTGCTAATACCCATTCCCTGTGTGGCTTTCCATCCCTAATCTGGTAAACGGCAAAAACCAAGCAAACCAAAAAACCCAGCCCTCCTAATCTGCAAGCCCCACCCTCCTTGCTGTGCTCTGGTGGGTGTCCGGTTCCCCAGGGGCAGAGCAGGGTCTGGGGAGTTGCGGTGCAGATCCAGTGGTGGTGCTGAGACCTCGGTGGGGAAGCCAGCCCCTGCGGCTACACGCTGCCATCTGGAGGTCGCTGGTCAGCTGATGCAGTCGTGTGTGTATTTCTGCCAGCGGTGTGAGACCGGGGTCCCCCTCACGCCTCCGCAGCCCGACTGCTGCTCCGCCCAGCTCTGCCTTCACTTGCGGGTGTTGCTGGTTACTGAGCTGCTGGTGAACGAGGGTGAGGGTCTCGGCTGACATGCTGCAGGGAGTGAGATGGGCCCTCAGTTGTCTTTGCTGTCTTCCTGTAGGAGGACTCCGAGGACAGTGAGATTGACATGGAGGGGGATGAAGATGACGATTTGGAAGAAGAGAGTGTTGCTCTCTCGCCAGCTAAGCCCGCTCGAAGGGTCCGGAAGCCTGAGCCCCTGGATGAGAGCGACAATGACTTCTGACCCCTTTGCCCAAAGGACCACACTGATTAAATCCCTCAGATCTATAGGTAAAAGGGAAGTTGGAAGGTTAGAAAGGAAACCTATTTTGTTCACTAAACCAGCTGGACTCGTTGTTAATGAACACCACCTATTTGCTCTGTAGCCTCCCCTGTGTTACCCCGCAGAGCTTCAGCGAGAACTGAAGCAAGTCCCAGATGGGATGTGGGTTTAGTCTTACTTGTCTCCTGAAACGTGGGAAATGCAAGTGTTCTTAGAGATGCACCTGTTCGGGACAGACACCCCAGGAGAAGGGATGGCGGCATCAGGTCTCGGCTATCGTTGTGATGTGTTTTCCTGTCACAGGCGGGGGAACGGACATGGGGCTGGGCTCCAGGACTGTTCAGGAATTGTGAGGAAGTGTCCAAGTCCTCCTCACCGGTACAGTTTGGAACACTTACTGTACATCGGCTTTTAACTCTAGCTTTTGTTTTGTCATCCTATTTTCTTGCTTCTGTACATTCACAATACCCAGCTTTAAATGTATTTTGCTAAAATGTTCCGAATGAACGTTAGCTAAGTTAGATGAAAACCCACTGTCCTTAAAGATCAGGTAACAGAGATACGCTGCAGAATGTAAATGCTCCATTTTCTCTCAGAAGGTTGGCATTCCTCCTCAGGAAAGCAAATAAAGAAGTGTTGGTACACACTTGTGTTTCTGACTCTAAAAAGATGAACCAGAATGCGTTAGATTGAGTAGCACTAGAATAATTAGCCTGATGTGAAGTGAGAAGTGGCAGATGGAGTCGTTTTGTTTTTCTGATGCGGAAAACACAGAGCAGTTTTCATTTAGATTTCAGTTCTAAAGTCAGAAGTCTTCTGAAGTTATTTAATTCATGATAAATGTATTTAATTCCATGTTTTTATATCATTATGTAAGTTTTACTTGAAAGTATAATTAACGTTGTTTATTTGCACTATAATGTGAATACATAGGAGAAGTTCATAGGTTACTGTGGTACGTGTAAATTTTTAGGAGGTGATGTGACAATTATTTCTATCTTTGCTTTTGTCTCTTTCTTTTCCTAATTCCTACATAAGAGATTACCCCTTTTTTAAACATTCAGCATTCAGTTAATTCACTGGCGATTTGAGATATGAATGATGAGGTAACAGGGAAATGGGAGTGTCGGGAGCTGCGCCGACCCCTCAGAGGCCGTGGCTTCTGAGGTGTTGAAGTCACTGCGTCTTCTTGGATGTTCTAGTTTTGGTTTCCTGAGTCGGACCTGCCTTATATTTAAAAAAGAAAAAAAAAAAAAAGGCATTTCTGTCTTCCTTACATGGCGCTTGCTTCTCGTGGGCATTATGGCAGGAGCGTGGCCCGCACCGCAGGTAACCCCCTCCACAGATAGAGGTGCCCACTCAGTGGGCGGTTTATTATTTTACCTCCCTCTGGGTCGTCCTTCACCCCTCGGTTACCTGATTTGCACAGTTTCACCACGGAATGGCACTTCCTTGCTCGAGCAGCTTATGTCAGCCAAGGAGCTTTAAGCACTGATCACAGTTATTAACGTCTGTCTGTCCCTCCTGTGACAGACCCAGCAGTCCGGTTGTGCACGTGCCTTGGGACCTCGTGTCATTGGTTTTAGCCAAGCATCAGAGCAGACTCAGGCCCCAGAGAAGACGGTGTGAGTAGGTCAGTGGAAAACTGGTATTTAGATCATTGTCAACGGTTGTTAATGTTTTAAACTGTGTCATTAAAGGACTTTTTAACATGCTTTACAACTTGTATACTGACAGACATCGTAAAGGGATTTTTAAAGTCCTTAATTTTTATTGGCGGCAGCAGATACAAAGTCCAAGGACTTCCAGTGGGCGATTCGAGAACTGTTTCCCGTGTAGCCAGGACGGGAGGAGGACCTGCAGGCGCTCTTTAAGTAGCATCTTAACTGTAATGGTCAGTGTCGCCCGTCTGAAAGGAAGCGGAGTTCCCTGATGATAACAGCACGCTGCATGAGTATCCCAGCTGTTGGGTTGGCCCGGGGGGGCCCTTAGCTGCCGAACCGGGCCTGGCAGCCTTGGAAGAGAACTGAAACTGCCCCGAGCAGAAGCCCTTCCTTGCAGTAACGGTGTGACTAGAACAGGGAGCACAGAGCGCTCAGGGAGGAATGTCATCAGGGAAACATGTCACTGATGGGAAACCCGGGGGTCTGAGACACAGTGTTCTGACTGTACACTTCTGTTGGGCAGTCTGGGAAGCGTTAAGCAACAGTAACATAGAAAATTAAGCTTTTAAAAGATGCACTGTTAATTCTAAAAAGAACAATACATTAGATAGGAGAGAATGGCTCAGGAGTGATGAATACAGGTAAAGTCATAAGGTAAACACTAATGATTTAAACAAAAATCATACTCTAATAACTATGTTGGAAGGACAGAGAAACAAAAAGTGGGGATGTAAGCTGATGGACGTCCAAGTGCCCTTTCCCGTATAGAAGGCAGGAGATGATCTCTAAGATGGTAAGAAATAGCACATATAGGACATTTAGTTTGGGGAGTAGGGGTATTCGGAAAGGGGAGGGATGAGAGAGAGACTGCCATTTGCCCTTATAAGCCTAGTAATTTTTGGCTTTTTAAACTATGTGTTACTGTGAATGTTTCGATGAATTTTTGTAAAGGTAAAGGAAAGGGTAAGGGCTGGAGGCTGAGGTTTGAGGATCATTTTCCTATGAGAGTCCTCAGGGGAGAACATATGGGATGGGAAGAGAGCTGAGCGGGAGGCCTGGGAAGTGCCTGTGTCTCAGGGACAAAGGCCACAAGGGGCCAGAAGAAGAGACTGGGACTGTATTTTCTAAGTTTTCTAAAGTGACTGTATTTTACTTTAATAATGAGGAAGAAATGTTTTATTTTCCCTTAAAGAGTGTTGAAGAAGAGGGGTAACGGAAAGGTGGGAGGACTGGAAGGTTGTGGTATGGAAGCTGAAGCAGGGGAGATTCTCCAAACAGGGGGAGAGGTGGCAAGTGCTAAACCCTTGTTGTAAATGAGCTTGAGTCCAAGAGGCCACTGAATTTGGCAGTTAGGGAATCTCCGGTGACCTTAGCCAGAGGCAGTCAGGTAGCCAGTGATGGGCTGAAGAGAATACAGTGAGTCCTGACGAGTGTTCAGAAAGGTGGACGGTCACAAGAGAAAGGAGGGCTCGGCCAGGGAAGGAACGTGTGGTGGAAGAACATTGTGGAGGGCGGGGGAGGTTTTGTTTTGTTTTGTTTTTTGAGAAGGAAACTTGAGCATGATTTTTTAACTGGAAGGAACGAGCTTGTGGAAGGAGAGGGGTTGGATCTTATTATAAGAGAGAGAGAGAGTGTGTAATTGATGAAGCAAAGGCTTCATTAGAGGTCATTCTGGTTTAATCTGCACTGTGTATTGAAAACGTATGCACCAGATAGCCAGCTGGGCTGATGCTACCATTTGTTTTAAAAGATTTTATTTAGGGGCGCCTGGGTGGCTCAGTGGGTTGAGCCTCTGCCTTAGGCTCAGGTCATGATCCCAAGGTCCTGGGATCAAGCCCCACATCGGGCTCTCTGCTCAGCGGGGAGCCCGCTTTCCCCTCTCTCTCTGCCTGCTTGTGATCTCTGTCAAATAGATAAATAAAATCTTTTAAAAAATAAAATAAAATGAAAATAAAAGATTTTATTTATTTATTTCAAGAGAGAGAGCATAAGCAGGGGGAGGGGTGGAGGGAGAAACAGACTCCCTGCCAAGCAGGCCTGATGCAGGGCTTGATCCCAGGACTCTGAGATCATGACCTGAGCTGAACACAAATGCTTAACTGACCAAGCCACCCAGGTACCCCGTGATGCTACCATTTAGAGTGAGATGGCTTTGGTTGATGTCATGATCTTTTTACACCTGGATTTCTATAGTGTCTATAGTAGATAAGGCCCCAAAATAGATTTTTGATTTGGGCATCAGGTAGAGTACCCAGAATATGGAGACATTGCCTCAGGAGTTGGACCACAATAGCCTTCAAATGAAACAACCTGGAAATGACAGATGATAGAATTAGTTAAAAAAAAAAAAAAAAAAAAAGGGACTGGGGCGCCCGGGTGGCTCAGTGGGTTAAAGCCTCTGCCTTCGGCTCAGGTCATGTTCCCAGGGTCCTGGGATCGAGCCCCACATCGGGCTCTCTGCTCCACAGGGAGCCTGCTTCCCCCTCTCTCTCTGCCTGCCTCTCTGCCTACTTGTGATCTCTCTGTCAAATAAATAAATAAAATCTTTAAAAAAAAAAAAAAGGACATTCAGATATTTTTAACTCTCGTCCCTTTACTGAGATGGTGGAGGGAGGTTTGAGCATATTAAGAAGAGATAAGAAAGACGTAAGGACATCTCCGAACTTCTGGAGGTTAAAAAAGTGAGAGAAAGACTGTGCCAGCTGGGACTGAGTCACGGCAGAAGTGAACAACATACTGGCCACAAAGACACAAGAGTCAAAACTGTTCAAAATGAGAAAATGAGAAGTCCCACCACCCTGGCTGTGGGTTTACTGCCTCAGTGCAGTTCCCCTCTGTCCTGCCCCGTGGTGGTGGAGCTATTCCTTGTAAAACGTCTCTGCTCTGCCAGCCAGCAAGAGCGTGGGCCTTGTCAGTAGGCTGCTAGGGAGACTTTGGAGAAGGAAGGGGCTTTCCTTCCCATTTTGGTGCGGCTTGCTCTTCGAGTCCCTGGAGAGCATGATTTTTCTCAAGGCCCGGGGTTTGTCTGGCGCTGGATTCCTGCACGGCATGGCTCTCTCCGCTGCTGGGCTACCGCAACTCGATCCGTCAAGTTCGTGACTAGGTGGGCACGGCCAGACACTGCACACACCAGAAGACAGTACAGCAGCATCTTGAAAGTACCAAGAGCCAAATACCAGCCTAAAATTCTATACCCAGCAAAAAAAAATGTTTCCAAACCCAGCAATCCACATAAATACAACACAAGACCCACGTTCAGACGTCCCCTGTTTCCAGATAACTTTTCTTTATGGCAGATTTTCTTCAGTCAAGGATCCAATCAGAGATCTGGCAGTAAGGAGTTACGTCCCTTCAACCTCCCACAGTTTAAAATAGTCCACAGCCTTTTGTATTTTACGTGGCACTGACTTTTTTGAAGAGGTTAGGCTAGTTTTTATCTTTTGCAGAATGCTGCTTGATTTGGATTTTGTCCAATTGTACCTTCCTGATGGGTTCAAATCAGTGTCTTTGGCATGGTGTGTCCTCCGGGCGTCCCGTCGGAGGCCTATTGTGTCCATCCGGCCCCTTACCAGTGATGTTATGTTTAATCATTTGTTAAGAAAACATTTGCAGAATTGTCTATCTTTAAAGATACCTTTTTCCCCTTCGGAGCTATCCCTTCTGGGGTGAGATTTTGAGGCCAGGCGAGTATCTTCTCCCTTAATAAGACTTTCATCCATAGTTTCAGCATCCATTGAAGATTCTTGCTCAAATACTCAGTTTTAAAGGCACATTTAGAAGAGTGCTTCCTGTTCAAACTTTAAAGTGAGAATTGCATCATAATCTTAATAAGCATTTCCCTTGGTTATTTAGTGCATGAGAGCTGTGGCGTCCATCGGGATCTTTTCCCCTTTCCTCACAGACAGACACCGAAGGAACCTGTACCACGTGGAGGCCCAGCTTGCTCTCCTTCCTGGAGAAACTTCGCGCACAGGAGTGCTTT